TCATTCCCCAGCACATGCCTGCTCTGCCCCGTGACGGTACAGATGCTTGTAAATGTCTGCAGTTTAATGGTAGATGCTGTTCTCATTTTTAGCCTTCAGTTGTGATCATTAGACTATTCATACAAAAGAAGATGGTTTAAATGTGGGATGTGCGCCTGCTCTCCCAGATGGGGACGGCTGCCATGTGGCAGGTGTTTACATTTATTCCGGAAATCTGTTCTTTCTGTCCATTTCCCTTAGCTGGAGTCTGCCTTACAATCTTTCCGGGGCTGGCATGAATGTCAGATTCTTCATTTGCATCAGGCAGAACATAAAACTACATCAGAGAAAAAGGTTATCTGACTTAGAGATCTCAGCGGTGCACAGCAGTGATGCTCACCTCAACTCAAATGGGTGCTTGGCTCAGTGAACGGTGGCTTGAACCACCCCCTCCGGGGGTTAAGAATTCTCATGGGGGGCTGGGCATGGTGGCCCACATCGTTAATCCAGAACAGCCAGGGCCACACAGAGAGACCCTATCTCAAAACAAAACAAAGAAACAAAACAGATTCCTCATGGCCATCTCCTTACAGCTCGCCTCACTGTGACAACAGGTGTAATCTGAACATCGCCCTAAGAGCACAACTGTCTGCTCCGTTAGGTCACAGATACACTTCAAGAGCTCCATCTTCGTCGGGCTCATGAACAGATTTTCCATTTCAGAATCGTGCATGAAGAAGGTGGCGGGGGAAGCTTGTTTATGTACACCCTCACGAATTCTCTACTAGAGCCTGTCTGGGAATAAGGCCCCAGCATTTTTCACAGGGCAAATCATTAGATATTTAAATGCCTTGTACCCCAGATGCACCACAATGAGAAAGGGGATACGCTTATAAGAGTCTTTTCGAATATGGCTGGAACCCACTTCGAAGAGCCACTAAAGTCCTTCAGTATTCTTTGCAGAGGTTTTTTAGGAGATAACGTTTTTTGGAAAATATTCAAGATTGTACCAAGACGCGCTGGGAAAGTTATGTGCTGTGAGGGAGTCATTAGGGCCGAGCTGAACTGAGACACCCACAGGGATTCCTGTGTGTGGGAAGCTGTCAAGGGCAGTTTTCCCTCAGCCAGAGAGACAGTGGTGACTACCTCCTCCCGACGAGGGGACTGAAGGGGGTCCTGTGGTCGGTCTGAAAACTAGGATAAAATCAGAGCTAACCATGCTGCATGTCAACACTCTGTTCCTACCCATAAAGGGGATGTGTTGCCCACATAGAGTGACTGGGGTAGCAGCTGTGTGTACTAGTCCGGGTTACCGGTTAACTGTGCAGTCGGGGGTGCCTGTCATGTATATAGTTGGGTGTTTCTGTCAGGTATGCATTGGGGGTGCCTGTCAGGCGCCCTCACGAGTGAGATTAGGATCCCAACAAAGGAAGTTCAAGAGAGATCTCTCACCCCTTCCATCATGACTCTGTGGTAAGAAGGGACTGTCACAGTCTCCCACAGACTGACAGTGGGACTAAATGAGCTTTTCCCTCGTGGCTCTCCTGCCACAAAGTTCCCCGGCATTCTGCTTCATATCCTGTGTCTGGACTAGCTTAATGAGCAGCCACCTTCTCCACTGTCAACAGTCACTATGGTAGAAGAAGGGCATCATGGCTGTCGTGAGTCCTGCCCCATACTTCGAAGGACTCTTGTCATGTGTCCTGTGTTAGTTAATTGGGACTCTCAACTTGACTGCATTTTGAGTCACCATAGAAATATACCTCTGTGTGTATCTATAAGGGGGTTTCCAAAATGTTTAACTGCAGAAGGAATGTCCACCCCACTTCAGGGGCCACCATGCCACAGGCTGGGACAGCAGCTTCCTCCCTCTGTGCTTCCTAACTGTAGACAATGTGAACATCCTCAGGATCCTGTCACCATGTCTTCATCATCTTGATGGGTTTGTATTCTTAAACTGTGAGTCAGCTAGGAGGGGTCTAGGAGCAGAATGGCTGCAGAAACCCACTACTGTCTACCTCAGAAGACCACCTATGTGTCTTTTGGGGGTCCCAGGACAACTATTTGATCATCACCCAGGGCTGGAGGGTAGGTGCCCCCCAGAGAGATTGTACGTGGTCAGGAGAAGAAAATACTTTTACCTGCTCAGACCCCTGGAATGCCCCCCCCCCCCCACACTAGGCTTTCATTTTTTGGAACAACCCATTTTGACTAGAAATATAGCCCAGGCTTTCCTGGAATTCATTTTATAGCCCAGAATAACCTTGAACATTTCTTCTGTCTACCTCCAGAATGCTGAGATTATGGGCATGTACCACCTTGTTTAATGGGTGTAGAGATCAAACCCAGGGCCTCATGAATGCGAGGCAAGCACTCTACCAACTAAACCACATCCTTAGCTCTATTCTGACTAGATTTCACAGGCCAGTGCCTGGAGGGCCGGCTCTGGTCCCTGCTGTGGACAGTCTGAGGCCTGTGGAGAACCTTTGGCTCATGGCTGGGGCCCAGGGAATCTTGGTCAACCATTCTTCCTGCCCAGTCTGGGCTCCTTGGTTGCTCTGTGGCTGCCTGCAGTCCTGCCCTGCAGGGACTGTTTGCAGACTTGAGTGGCAGCCACAGGCCAGCACATTTCCATGTGAATGCAGCGTGGGTCTCAGCTGCTATTTTCGGAGTCCAGTGATCTCAGCCGCTGCTGGATGAAAAGAAGACGATTTTTATACTGAAACTGTACACTTTTCCCTTAAAAGTCACAGCAAAATCTTCTTCATTCATGAATTGAATCCTTGCTAAACTGCTCTTAAAAGTAGTGGTGTGGCCGGGCGGTGGTGGCGCACGCCTTTAATCCCAGCACTCGGGAGGCAGAGCCAGGCGGATCTCTGTGAGTTCGAGGCCAGCCTGGGCTACCAAGTGAGTTCCAGGAAAGGCGCAAAGCTACACAGAGAAACCCTGTCTCGAAAAACCCAAAAAAAAAAAAAAAAAAAAAAAAAAAAAAAAAAAAAAAAAAAGTAGTGGTGTGTATGTGTTTTCCGACAGTCTCTAAAGGTACACAGCTTCAGGGCTCAGCCTGGAAGGTGAAGGAAGGTAGGACAGCCTTTCCCCATGGGTCACGAAGGTTTTCTTCTAGTGCTTAGGGTACATTGAGCTGGGAGTGGACCATCAGCCTTTGAGGCTTCCTGCACTGAGTGCTTGGAGGCCATGGGCTGGAACTGCCACTGCCCCATTCCAGGAGACATGATGGGTGAAGTCTCAGAGGGACCCTTTTGTAGGCAGAGTGGGTTTTAAAAGTTTTAAAAAAAAAAAAACTCAGCTGGGTGGTGATGGAGCATGCCTTTAATCCCAGCACTTGGGAGGCTGAGGCAGGCAGATTTCTGAGTTCAAGGCTAGCCTGGTCTTCCAGGACAGTCATGGCTACAGAGAAACCCTGTGTTGAAAAAAAAAAAATCTCACAACAGGACAGTTGTCCATATGAACTCACAATGATTGTGACAGTATGCACAAGGCCTGTGCAAGCTCAAACCAGACAAAATCCCATCCTGAAGAGAGGAGGTGGGCACAAAGAGAAGACCCATCCCTAGCTCAGGAGCTTCTGGCAATTGATAGCTGCCAGGAGAGGGAAAGGAAGCCAGTGCTGGAATAGAAAAGGCTCCTGGTCACGAGAACAGAACCTCTAGCTTGGGTGGAGCAGAGCATCCTAGGTGGACTGGGCCAGTGATTTTGGCTTCAAGACAGGCTTAGAAAGACAGGCTGAAGAGGTGGGCAGAATAATTAGTCTGTTAACGAGACACTGTGCTTTTCCTTCTGAGAATCCCTGCCCTCAGCAGCTTACAGTCCACAGCCCTGTGTGTGTGTGTGTGTGTGTGTGTGTGTGTGTGTGTGTAGTTTTTCTTTTTCCTTTTTTCTCTCTTTTCTCAGTCCATTCTTAAATTCTTTTATTAATGAGACTAACTGCAGAGGGGACCCCCATACCCCCTGTATCACTAGGAGAACTGGTAACCTCGGTGTGTAACAAACTGACAGTCAAGTCAATGTCTGTAGAGATTTCATTTGCAGAAAACAATTTTATACGTGTGGAAATAACATTAAAATTAAAACAACAGCAAAAAACCCAAACAATGAGAACAACTAAAGACAACAGCCCGGAGATGGTAGTGGGCTTCCAGAGGAGCTCAGGGGCAGCCTTCCACCAACTGTTGGTCTGCAGAACTTGGGGGTGCTCCACCCTACCCCGTGAGTCATGGCCTGTTGCTATGGACGCCTCAGCAGAACTACCTTAAAGCACAGCCCCCCACCTCTGAGAACATGCATCATGAGAACTTGGGCCATTGCAGATCCTGAGGACTGAATGCTCAAGTGCCCCTTCCAGTGTCCAGGTGTGACTCTCACACTCACCAAGTGGCATTTCACTGTCAAGGACAAGTGTTGGGATATCCATCACATTCCACAACTGACCAAATATCCAGAGCTGTTGTTTACTGGGGCCCTGGCCCAGCCTTCTTCATGGAGCTGGGGTACACTCCAATAGGGAGCCCCCTTTCTGTTGCAAAAGTCAGCCAACATGTCTTTTTAATGGTTAATATTTTGTAATGATTAATTACATTTAATTAATCTTTGTAATGACTAATATTTTCAACCTGACAGACTCTAGACTCACCAAGGGCAATGAGCCTCTGGGCATGTCTCTGAAGAATGTTCTAGATTGGGTTAACTGAAGTAGGAAGACCCACTTCAATGTGGGCAGCACCACGGTCTGCGGTCTCAGTATACAAAGGAGAGACGAGCTGGGCACAAGCTGCCATCTCTCCCTGCTTCCCGACTGCCGATACAATGTGCCCAGCCGCCTCAAACTCCTGCCCGCATGCCTTCCCTGCCACAGGAGCCAGAAGAAACCTTTCTTTCCTATAAGTACCTCTTGTCAAGTATTTTGTCCCAGCAACATGGAAAACAACTGATATAGTCTCCGGCCCTAAGAAAACCAAAGCGACGTAGTCTGTCTGGAAAGAATCATTTATGTTGTACTTGGGCATTTTTTAAAATAAAAACTCATTTATTTCAAAGAGCAGATACATACAACCAAGACGACAAATGGCCACAGAACAATCATAGTTTGTCTCAATAAATAAGAAAACCCCATTTATATCTCTTAAAATCTATATAGCACATTATACATTTAAAATAAATAATCCCTGTGGGTCTAGAAACAGCCCAGGTGTCTGGGGTAAGAGGGACGGCTGGGTGGGACCCATTGCTTCTGGTACCCCATGAAGCCCCCTCCCCAGTTTCTGTGCTCTCTCAGTCCTGCAGGGGACCACGACACAAGCTTTGGGACTGGCCTTCCCAGCGCCCCCGTCTTGTTGGGGGGCTTATTGCTTCACACTCATTCACATCTTGACATGACCAGTTTCCTGGTTGGTACCGAGCATGGGTCTTCGTGACTGCTGGGTGTGGACTCCATCTCAGTTTCTGTCTGTAATTGGGCTTTCTCATACTGTTGGTTACTTGATGAGACATTTGTGACATGTCCTGTCCTTTCACCCTGCACATTCAGGACACAGGAGAGTGGGATGGCCTGGGCTCACAGGCTATAAACATTCTGCACTGGGTACCTGAGAGGGGTGGGCTGCCTGGGCGCTGCAGGCCAGTCCTTCCTGGCACTGTACAGGCTAGAGTTCAGTGGCTAGCGGGCACCACGCACCTGCCAGGCTGGGGCTGGCTGGGTCATTGGGCCTTGGCCCATTAAGGCAGTGGGACACAGCCAGGCAGGCTCCCCACTGTCATTCTGAGCTCCATGTCTGTCTGTCCAGCAAGTCTCAGGGTAGCTTGTGAGTCGCTCCCAGATGCACGTGCAAAGGCGAGTCTTTCTTTTTTATGACAGGATCCTTCCTTTCAGCTTTTCCAAAGACAGTGTGTGTGTCTAAGACGGGCCCGGGCACTCCGGAGGACTCACGGTCAGTGTTCCTTCAGCCTAAATGCAAAAGAGAGGGTGACAGAGGGTCACACAGCAGATGCCAAGCACACCGAGAATGCACAGACCCTATGCAGGGCCAGCCCTGGGCCCTCCTCCCTGGGACGCCTGGCTTCGGGAGCTGGCTGGTGGGTGAACTATGCGCCCTTCCCACGGCTTCTGCTTCTCCAGCTGGGACTGGAGACTCTCTTGGCTGGGAAGGCACAGCGCAACAAACTCCACCAGGAAGGCAACCGCCTCACATTCCCCTCACTGGGAGTCTGAGGAGAGGTTCACGGAATCACACCCACAAAGAGGCACTTATTACACAAGAAAGGAGGGTGACTGTAGTGTGCCCAAACTGGGATGGGTGGTTAGCTCTTCCCTTCCCATCAGGCTGCCTGGATTGCCTCAATTCCAGAGAGGCCACTGTGGACTTACGGAGCCTGGATCCCTGCAGCCGGCCCTGGACAACTCAGTTCCTTGTGTATGAGGCGGATCAGGAACTGCACCCAAAACAGAGAAAAGACGCCGTCACCGTGTGAGGACAGAGCGGAGGGCAGGTGTGGCCTGTTGAGGCTTGCTGGACTGTGTGGTTCCTCCTCTGAAGCACTCACAGGTGTATGCCCCGTGGAGAGCAGAGCGGAGATGAGGCCAGCACCTGGCCTGAGGTGAAGGCTGCCCCTCGCTAAGTCCTCGGGATAATCCAGACACCTGCCCCCAAACAGGCTTTTAGCACAGACTTCAAAACCGATCCAACCACAAGAGGTCCCAAACGGAAACAAGACAGAAACTGAAAGGGAGGTATAGCCCACGCTATGGAGCTACACGGAGGAACTCTGGAGCCAGGTAAGTAGGTCATGAGATGGGGTACTGGGAGGCTGAAGTAATGCCTCAGGACTAGCATGTTTTGTAGGGAGCCTGTCTGAGGCCTAACCTCGTGTGTGTGTGTGTGTGTGTGTGTGTATGTGTGTGTGTGTGTGTGTGTGTGTGTGTGTGTGTACACCATTGGCTGCTTTCCACACAGTGCTAACTGCTAGGCTGACAGCCATCGGCTTACCTGGTTAACTTCACACCCTTCACGTGCCAAAAGGCTCAGGGTAGTTGTTCACCAAAGCAGAGTAATGGCTGGCTGCCACCCACAGCTCAGGGCTTACCCTGCCACGGGTGTGGAGCTGGTCTCTGTGACCGACAGCAGATCACAAGCAGGTTCTGGGGCTGCATTGGAAGGGGATCCTGATAGGAGTCTCACCTGCTGCTGGCATGTACTTAAAGGGCAGCAGGCACCCTAATCCAGAGGGGTTTGGGGGAGGGGAGCAGGCAGTACAGGTCTGAGGGACCACTGCTGCTCCACATCAGCTGCCCACCAGGCCTCAGGTCTTGGCTCTCAGATGCCCTATGATCAAGATGGAGGCCCGCGTGCATGAGCTAAGGAGAATGGGAATGTCCCCTATGGACAATACACTGTCCCAGCACTTGGCTTGGCCCAGGAACAATCACTGGACAGTAGTGGGAACGAGGAAACACAAAAATCAGGGTTGGCGGCAAGAGAATTTTGCAGCAAATTGGGACCAACTCCAGCTCTAGCTCTAACTACCCAGGGCTGAGCTGGCAGCCTGCCAGCACCGCTACTCCCACCAAGTACAATGTGTGGCAAGTGCTGGCAGAAGAGACCTGTGATGGTAAAACCACACTGCCAAGAAGGAGGAAGAGCGAACACAAGCAGGGCCTGTGGGTGTGCGACAGCCTGCGTGGGAGTCACCTTCCAACAAAGCTCTGTGCCCATGCAGGTGACAGTGACCAGCGGAGAGGGGACTGCCCACTCCCTGTGTCTGCCCCCAAGATGCTGGGGGCCTGAGTGGCATGGGCTGGCGAGGAGACGAACAGCCACAAGCCTGAGCAGTCCCACTGCCCAGGCAGCAGGAATGTGGTCCCCTAGCATCCCTGAGGAAGTGAGCTCAGGTCCTGGAGCCCCCAGCCTGACTGGGAAGGGGATAAAACTGCTTTATTTTAAGGAAAAAACACTGGAAGGAGGAAGGGCCTGCCAGAGCTTTAGGGGATTTATTTGCATATGTATAATTTGGGGAAGTCTCAGGCAGTCAAGCTCTAAACTGTTTTCAGTGCAGTGCTGGGCACCAGTGCAGGGTGTACAGGAGAGTGTGCTCTGCGGAGCCGCATCCCCAGTCCTTACATAGCCGAGGATGACCTTGATCTTCCAATTCTACTGCCTCTACCTCTCAAATGCTGTGGTTACAGGTGTGCAGTGCTGGGGATGCAGGTGTGCAGTGCTGGGGATGCAGGTGTGCAGTGCTGGGGATGCAGGTGTACAGTGCTGGGGATGCAGGTGTGCAGTGCTGGGGATGCAGGTGTGCAGTACTGGGGATGCAGGTGTGCAGTGCTGGGGATACAGGTGTGCAGTGCTGGGGTTACAGGTGTGCAGTGCTGGGGTTACAGGTGTGCAGTGCTGGGGTTACAGGTGTGCAGTGCTGGGGTTACAGGCGTGCAGTGCTGGAGTTACAGGCGTGCAGTGCTGGAGTTACAGGTGTGCAGTGCTGGAGTTACAGGTGTGCAGTGCTGGGGTTACAGGTGTGCAGTGCTGGAGTTACAGGTGTGCAGTGCTGGAGTTACAGGTGTGCAGTGCTGGAGTTACAGGTGTACAGTGCTGGAGTTACAGGTGTACAGTGCTGGGGATACAGGTGTACAGTGCTGGGGATACAGGTGTGCAGTGCTGGAGTTACAGGTGTGCAGTGCTGGGGTTACAGGTGTGCAGTGCTGGAGTTACAGGTGTGCAGTGCTGGAGTTACAGGTGTACAGTGCTGGTGTTACAGGTGTGCAGTGCTGGAGTTACAGGTGTGCAGTGTTGGGGATGCAGGTGTGCAGTGCTGGGGATGCAGGGGTGCAGTTCTGGGGTTACAGGTGTGCAGTACTGGGGTTACAGGGGTGCAGTGCTGGGATTACAAGGGTTACAGGTGTGCAGTGCTAGATTACAGGGGTGCAGTGCTGGAGTTCCAGGGGTACAGTGCTGGAGTTCCAGGGGTACAGTGCTGGAGTTCCAGGTGTGCAGTGCTGGGGTTATAGGTGTGCAGTGCTGGGGTTCCAGGTGTGCAGTGCTAGGGTTACAGGGGTGCAGTGCTGGGGATACAGGTTACGTCACCACTCCCAGTTTAATACAGTGCTGGGGACTGAACCTGAGACTCTGTGCACACTAGGCAAGCTCTCTCCCAACTGAGCTACCTCCCCAGCTTTCTTGGCTCTTCTCCAAGTCCAGGCTGTAACTTATTACACAGCTTGGGCTAGCCCCAAATCTGTGGCAGTCATATGCATTCTGAGTGCTGGGGTTATGGGCCAGTGGGAGGTCTGTAGGTCAGTGGGCATGCTCCAAAGGGATTGTGGGACCCCAACCCCTTCCTCTTTCTCTGTTCTGTTTCCTAGCCAAGCGGTGAGTAGTTCCTTTTCAGAGGTTAGCCTCATCACAGGCTGAAAGCAATCCTGGACCAAACTATCCCAAGCTGTGGGCCAAACTGAACCTTTCCAATCTGACTGTGTCCAGTGTTTGCAACTGACACAGCAGGCAGACTGGCGGGGGGGGGGGGGGGCTCTCTGTTCACCATCTGCTCCAGCTCCCCAGCAGGCCTGCATCACTATCATCACATCACTTTATAATGGGAGTGCGAGGGCTGGAGAGAAGGTTCAGTGATTAAGGCCCAGGCTGCTCTCCCAGAGGACCTGGGTTTGGTTCCAAGCACCCACATCAGGAGGCTCACAACTGTCTGTAGCTTGAGCTTCAGGGGGTCTAATGCCCTCTTCTGGCCTCTGCACACATGTGGTGCACATGTGTATACTCAGGCATACACACATACACATAAAATAATAAATTAAAAAATTTAAATGTGGACGTGGCAGCACAGAGAGGCTCAGTGACCTGTCACATGCTAGATGGATCCAAAGCTACGGATCTCCTCACCTCTGACTCTCAATATCCCACAAAGAACAGGCTCGCTTGTTTCGAACTTACTCCTCACCACCCGAGACAGAAAAAGCCTCAGTCCATCTGTGCTTAGTGAAGGCAGCATGAGACATATTGCTAGGGACTGTAGGAGTCCACAGGAAGACATTCCACTAGGGTCTGTCCCACAGCTACAGGGACATGTGTGCTTAATGAAGGCAGCATGGCGCACGTTGCTAGGGATTGTGGGAGTCCACGGGAAGACATTCCACTAGGGTCTGTCCCACAGCTACAGGACAGCTAACTGAAGATGCATGGGTTAGAAACAAGGAGACCCACCAGTAAGGCACAGGCGTCTGCAAACATCAGCATGTAGAACACATTACTCCATCCTGAAGGGGAGATGAGCCCCGCCAGTAGGGGACCCAAGGCAGCTCCTGAAACAGGAACACAGATGCTGGTTAAGGAAGGCTAGCAAGGGCAGCTCCTCAAACAGGCACAGATGCTGGTTAAGGAAGGCTAACAAGGGCAGCTCCCGAAACAGGCACACAGATGCTGGTTAAGGAAGGCTAACAAGGGCAGCTCCTGAAACAGGCACACAGATGCTGGTTAAGGAAGGCTAGCAAGGGCAGCTCCTGAACAGGCACACGGATACTGGTTAAGGAAGGCTAAAAAGGGCTGCTCCTGAAACAGGCACACAGATGCTGGTTAAGGAAGGCTAACAAGAGGAGACAATCTCAGTGTCGAGGAGGGAGCAACTGCCGTAAACACCCTCTGGAGCCCATTCTAAAGCAGGTATTGATCTTCGAAATGTCCACCCCGTCTGACACGCCATCATTATGAATGGACCTTATAGTTGGGTGTGTTGGCGCATGCCTTTAATCTCAGCACTTGGGAGATAGAGGCAGAAGGATTTCTGTGAGTTTAAGGTCAGCCTGATTATATAGTGAGTGCTAGGACTACAAAGAGACCCTGTCTCAAAGAACCAAAATCAAAAAAATAAATGGACTTATGTAAAGAAACTGAACCCAACATACACTCTCAGATACCCCTGTGCTCAGAAAATGTCACTGAATAAATCTGTAAGAAACACAGGACTTAGAACTTGCCAATGTCAACCACCTGATTCTGACTGCCACAAGTCAGGGAGCTCCTTGTATTTCAGGGGGGTACTGACCAGTTATTTGCAGAGGGCAGTGTGGCTGCATCTTACTTCAGTGGTTCAGAAAAACATGCCTGTACATGTGCATAAGTGTGCACTTGCATGCACAACCGTGCAGATGCACAACTGCAAGTGTGCATGCATGTGTATAAGTTTGTGTGAGTGCACGTGTGCACATGGGCACAGGTATGCATGTGTGTGTACAAGTGTGAATGTGTGCGTGTACAAGCACGCATGTGTATGCATGTGCACAAATGTGTATGTGCATGCATGTGTGAATGAGGTGTGGGATAAAGAAAATTCAAGATGCTTGTGAACTCTTTTTGCATTATATTTGTGATTTTTTTCTTTTTCTTTTCTTTTCTTTTGCAAGTCTAAAATCATCATGTCAAATAAACTCTGAGAGACAGACAAACAAAAGACATCTGCAGAAGAACGTTGGCTGCAGTGTCTGGAGTGCTTCCCTCACTGGGGGTGGCGGGGGTAGGTGGTGGGGGGAGGCGTGTGAATCTGAAAAGATGACTTGTCCAGCAGCTGCAAGCTAAGGAGCTTGGAGGATTGCCTCCAGGTTATTGACTGCAACGTAGTACCCGAGAGCGGAGGTGCTTCATGCCCACTGACTGTTCCAAGGGTGTGTACGGCACACACATTACCCTGTGATCTGGGAAGCTATCTGATACGCTTTTCCCATGTCTCAGCAAAGTTGAAGGCACACATCATCTGCTCACGTGAGTTTACTCTGTACATCCCGAAGACCATGGCATGGACCATAGCTGAGTATTAAAAATCATAAATCCACAGAGCAGAGGGCAGATGAGAGAAAAACAGGTAGGGGTGTGTGTGTGTGTGTGTGTGTGTGTGTGTGTGTGTGTGTGAAAGACAACAGTGAGCACAACCTGGGGACCTCTCCTCATAGCTAGGCTGGCCAAGCACATGACGGGGGCGGGGGCTGCAGCAGGCAAAGGGCCGTCATTTGTTCCCTCTACCACCACAGAGTCCAGGTTTCCCTTCATCAGTGACTCAGTGACACCCCACAAAAGAGCAGTAGCTGAACCTCTGGGGACAGCAGACCCTATGAAGGGTACGGGGAAGGCACCCAAGAGAGAACAGGGACCCAGGGACCCAGGGAAAAGACCGGTCCCCAGCAGCCATCCATGCTCCAGCAACGGTAAGAACATCAACACCTGAGTACCCTACTGACAGGAAGATTCCAGCAGATTCCAGGCTGGTCGGTGAAGGCAGGGGGCGCTCTCCAACAGAAAGGGCTCCACACTCACACTAGTTTAGTGGCTTATTTTCAAATACAAAGATACAAAGGGGCAGCTTAGAGGCCCCAGAGCTGAGGAAGACCCAGCTGTGACCACACACAAACTGTGAGGAGGCAAATTCAGGGCCAGTTAAGCCGGAAGGGAATCCCCGGGCACAGGGAATACCACCCGGGCACACGTGAAGAACCAACTGGAATCTTATGACAACCTCAGTTTTGTAGCTGAAGATCAGTTATCAGTAGTTAATTCTCATTATATCTACATTAATGAGTGTTGAAAACGTGACAGCTAAAATAAGAACCCAGAGGTTGACAGATAAAGTCAAGGACATCTGTGTGAGAGAACAAGAGAGACAGGAAGAACACAGAAAGGAAGAAACAAGAAGGAACAATCTGACAATCTGGAAACCTGACATTTGACTAATGTTTTCCAGAAAACAAGATAGAAAATGGTAGCCAAACCTAGCAAAGAAACAACAGTGCCCATCCCCCAAGATGCACGGCCCGCTTCCACATGGAAGCCTGCCAGGAGTACCACGGTGGGTGGAGAAGAGCCCCTGGGTAAGAGGGAGACCTGAAGACCCAGAGGAGGGGAGCCAGGTCAGTGTGGAGAGCAGATGAGAGTGACAGCTGATATCTACTGCTGGCGATGGAAACTGAGAGACACTGGGGTTCTGGAAGAGGCCCTGACGTCAAGTGAAGATGGACCCCCAATACCACAGCCCTGCAAGCTCTGGGAATCGTAGGAAGCTACTAGATGACAGAGAAGCAGTGACCAGGAATCTAGCAAACAGGGCTCTGATATATGAGGGAGGAGAAAGCAGTGTGGGGGAGAGAGAGGGAGCAAAGTCTCTGTAGCTTAGTAGGCGTCTGTGGCCTGCCACCAGGCTGCCAGATGGATGGCAGTAGGAAACACTTAGAAGGTGATGGTGTCAGGGCGGGGACAACCAGGACAGAAACAAATAAAAAGCAAATGGCAACAGTTAGGCCAGGGCGGGGGATCTGAGGACCCACAAGATCGACTTCCTGGCAGAGCCAGTGTGATGGAGGGGTGCAGGGCAGAGAGTGTGGGAAGAGCCGGGTCTAGCTGTCTTGGGTAGAGGACATGAGATGGTGTCTAGGCTGACGAGTCCAGGAAATTCACATTTGTGGTAAGGCTAGGAGCAGTCAGTATCTGGGAGGGACCAACTCTAAGGAGAGGGCTTAGGCAGGCAGAGCCAGGGCCTGTCACATTGTATCACGAAAGCTCTTAGGACTGTCTAGTCCCTGTGGCTACATTATGCATTACCTTGATAAAACAAAACCTTGAAAATACCCATGGCTATAGCTAACTGTTCTGCACACACATGTAAGAAAGGCAGCCTTGGGTCCCGCTGAGATGTCACTCTGGACACTGCAAACACATGAGCCAATAAGGCACTCCCAACTGGGGAGAAGGTACTGGCTGGTTTGGGATCAGTGGAGCTGTGCCTTTGCCTAAACCTGAACTGACTAATAGACACGACCACTTGACAAGCACTTGGGGCAAACACTTCCCCCTGTGATGCTTTTGCTAAAGTGGTGTGTCGTCCTTCAAGCCTTCCTTTGCTTCATCTTGTGGGTATCTGTGTGCATGAGAGACACAGAGCTGGGACTTTATAGAGGACCAGTGTTCATGCTGTTTCCATGGTGACTGGTTACTGAGTCCCTGTGTACTTGAGCAAGCAGGGAAGCATGGGGGGCTGGGGTCCAGGAGTCCAGCCCATCGGGTTCCAGTGGCAATGCTGTAGAAACTCAGGTGGGCACGCGCTTTGAAGGGGGGCAGCATGTGATGCTGGGGGAGGGGAAGGTTCACTGGCCTGCTGCCCTTCTGTTTTGAACATGGCGCTTTCCTCCTCCGCAGCCCGGCATGCGGTGGCGAGGTCCACCTCTTCACCGAGGCAGCCTCTCTCCTCTTAGCCTCGTGTTTGAGGCGAATGTCAAGAGAGAAGCATTTTTCCACTTCCTTCCTTATTCCTCTTTCTCCTCTGATCCTCTGCTTTACTGTAGTGCCCAGGCTGCTGGCAGGACTCCATGTTAGCTTAAGCATGGTGTCCTGGGAGCAGCGGACTTCTGTGGGACAGAGTGGGCGGGGGAGGCTGTGGCAGGGAAGCACATCTAAAGTTTTGTGAAGTCTCTCTTGGGCTGGGTGAACTGGGAGAATGGTGGACCACTCCTCACAGGAAGGGTTGTGCTGCTTCTGAGACCCATCACCAGGCACAGCAACCCAGCCCACTCCCTGCCGTGTCCCAGACACGCCCCAGGGGCCAAGAGGGGCCCTGAAAGGCATCATTAGGTAAGTGGCCACAAATGCCATCCAATACACCTGTATCACCTCCAGATCCAACAAAATAAAGGAACCAGTGCTGAGGACTGGCTGGGTCTGACCTTGGTGACCAGCTAAGCCGAAGCCTGGCATTGTTGACAACAGTGACCTCACAGAACACACCGAACTCTCACAGGAAGAAGTCCTGGAGGTGGCAGTGGGGGACGGAACAGAGATGAGGTTCCTGTGACTGGGAGGGCTGCCAGTCCTACCCGGATGAACCTCTCTGCCACAGCACTGACCCTGGGGGACCACATCTGTGAATGCACCATCCCCTGAACGGGAGGGAGACCTCTGAGCCCTTGCCTGTGACTACAGCTGCCTTGGACCAGCGTCAGTACAGCTCACTAACAATGCCACTCCCATCTAAGGAAAGGCAGTGGGAGGGTGTCTCTGCCCTCCATCGGCTCAGGTTGTATTTGGTGTGGGTGGGGTCCAAAGGAGATGGCTTCTGGGATTTCTAGACTTGGTATTTTACCAGACCCTAGCTGTCTGTGCCTTGCAGAGGACCAATTTGGATCTGGAATGCCCCAAAGAGCCACATGTTAAAGGCTTGATGCTGTTGAGAGCTGGTGGCACATTCAGGACACAGGACCTAGTGGGGGGAAGTCAGGTCATGGGGTGTATGCCCACCCCTTCTCTCTCCCTGCTATGCGGGGAGTCGCATGGTATACCCATCATGATGCTTTCCTTCCCATAGGCACAAAACAACGGGCCATGGACTAAAATCTTCAAAACTGAGCTAACACAAACCTTCCCTCTATTCAAGTTGATTGTCTGTGGGATTTTGTTACAGTCACGCAAAGCCGACTAACACAAGGATGAGGAGTTTACACCGCCACCTTTTGTCACTCCAGAATGTGCTCACGAATCTCTTCGGAAACCTCAGCGAGGTGGGTGACAGGACCGTGTGTACCTCGGATTGATCTGTTTTCCCATAGCTCAAATTGAAATAAGATGCCGTCTTTCCTGATGAAAAGCCAGAGCCTAAAGTTTCTCAACCCCTGGGTCAAATCAGAGCCTGGCAGTACACTCTCTCCCATTGAGGAAACAGATCCAGCCAACCACAGCTGTCTTCTCTGAAGCCATATGTTACGGCCTCCACAGCCGGCTCCCCTGAGCATCTAGGAGCAGACAGTCCTGACATTGGCATCAGAGTCTTGGGCACCCGTTAGATAGGGACAAAAGCTTCTTGGGGAGCTGGGGGTGGGGAGGGAGGCATTCTCTGCGTACCTACAGACCCAGTGCCGTCGATGATGGCCGTCACGGTGGACAGGGCGTGAGAGTTCCCTTTCAGACTTTTGTGAGTCCCCTGGGGGAGTGGAGGAGAAAGATGTGAAACACAGGCAGATGAGGAGTGAGAAATGAATCCGCTCCTGACACATATGACCGTTACACAGAACCTTTTCCCGAGGAAGTCTACACCCTATGCCACCCTGAGAGAGGCCCCGAGTGTTTCTAAGAGACAGAAATCCTTCCAAACACCTGCCCAAGCATATTTAGTTGTTTGCGACTGTCTTGTTTAGCCTAAAGGATTCAGTTAGAATCCCTCCTCTGCTTCTTTCTTTTTCGTGCTGACCATTTTGTTCAGTCTGGTGTGGATCCTTCCTGAATATGTCATGGGTACTTGGCCAAGTCTGCACACCCATGCCCACCCAAGGGATAAGCTTCCTGTGGGCAGATTCAGAAACACACCTAACACCAGGGCCAGGCAGGGCCAACCCGCAGCCTTGGACAGATGGCATGGGGTGAAGAGGATTGGTCAAAGCTCCACTGGGCCTCTCAGCTGGGCACTCTCTGTTGACCACCCAGGGACGAAGAGGTGGCAGGGGACAGCTGCTAGAAGACTCTCCAGACACAGGCTATCTAGGCACAACTGTGAATGAAGCTTTACCCACTGAGGAGGCAGCGCTCGCCCCGAGTGCGGTGACTCACCAGGTCTGCAGAGACGGCCGTGGTAATCAGTGCATAGGGCCCGCTGACCAGGGCCCCACTGAGGAGCAGCATGGCTGTGGAGAACAGAGGAGACTCAGAACAGAGCCTGCCCGGCCCAGCAGTCTACTGGTGAGGGCAGGCACTTCCAGGGCAGGGGCCCATCCCCGGGAGACAATCTCCAGGGTGCAGCACTAACGGCTCCTGTACTGTGCCTGGGGATGCACTACCGTGCTTCCCCAAAGCCTCAGAGTCCTTCCTCTTCGGAGGACCTGAAACTCAAGTTCCCTGGCCTCATGGGAACACAGTTGCTGATGATGGTTCTAGGAGAGGGGGGGATGAGAGCTTGAGTGGACCAAGGCCAGGCCAGCACTGGGTCTATACCACAGCCCTTTCAGCCACAGAAGGGACTGCTTCTCTTCACCACGGGCAGGGATGCTGAACACAGGGTCCCTCCCTTCAACTCCATGGGCTCCTTTTCCTGAAGGGACTCTGGGTCCATGGGAAATGCCACGGTGACTGGCAGAATGCTTTCTAGGTCACTTGGGACAAGACTGTCCTCCGTCCCACTTCCTCCAGTCTCCAGGGTGTGGCTAACGCCCCACCCCCAGGCTGAGGCTCCTCTGAGCAGCGCCTCCTGTTGGCACCCAGAGCCGAGCACTGCTGGACCGGGTGGCCGTACTTATCCCCACGATCTGTCACACCTGCACCGTTCAGATCCGCGCCCAGAAACTGGAGCCTCGCCTCTCCCCAAAAGGGACATGGGGCCACACCGCTCAGTCACATCAGCTTAATGCCTCTGGATTGGCTTTTACCTTTCATGTCACGAGGTTGTGTGGACAGACACGGGTGTGCGAGAATAAGTGACAAGGCCTCGTGTTACTACTCACCGATGGTGGCTTCCAGTCCCATTTTGCTGACGGAGGAGAAGACATAGAGCTGCGGGAATTAAGAACGAGGAAGAGCCGACTCAGCCCAGGCAGCTGCAGGTCTGCTGGGAGCCTGGGCTTTAGAACGGGAGCCCACAGGGACCTGATCGCTGAGCATGTAGCTCTGGGCCTTGGGGAACTCTCAGGGGGACTCTAAGTGCCCAGGGCTGGTGGGCAGGACACTGAACAGTTCCCAGCTCCTCATCTGAGGTCTGAAGCTGCCTGTCCGAGCACTGTACCCTGGGATGCAGTCCCCCTAGCAATGGGGCCATGCTGCTCATAATGTCTTAAGGATTGCCTCATAGGGCCTGAAAGCCTTCGAGGACTCAGAAAAAGGCCATGTTCCAGGGACAGTGACAGCCTTGGGGAGAGAGGCATGTGGACAAATACAATGTGGCAGCAGAGTGGCTCCTTGTGTCACAAACAGCAGTGGCAGGCCAACGCCACACCAGCTCCACATTGCCACACTGGGGGGTGATGCCACTCCCGACCAGATGAGGAATCTGAGGCGGGGAAGTCACCTGCCCAAGGTCATGAGCTTCTCAGTGCTTACAGGATGACCCTGGCGTGATGGGATGATGGAGTTCACTGAGCCTACAAGGTAGGGATGGCACACAGATCCCAAGAGACAGGCAAGGGTGTGACCGGGAAAGGGGGACGGAGATGGGCGTGAGGGACACCCCATAGAGAGGAGCTGCCCATGAGAAACCCAGGGTGAGGGAGAAGCATGGTGTGTGTGCAGCCCAGGGGCTGAGGCAGTCGAGTCTGGAGGGGCTCTGTGCTTCCAGCCAGGGACAAGCCGGGCTTCTAGGGATGTGGAACTTGGGCTGGGGGCAGTGGTGGCTGGTGGAGACAATGAAGGTGACTGCCTGTGACAGCGGGCAGAGCCAGGACTCACCGTGGGTGCCGCCAGCAGCAGCATCAGACCGCAGGTGGAGGCTCGCTTTTCCAGGCGGTCGGAGATCACACCTGCTAGGATCCCACCTGTGACAGAGAGGGGGCGGCGGCCTCAGGAGCTGATGCTTGGCACACGCTCCCCAGAGGAGACTAAGTCACAGGGGCAAACACTTCCCTGAGCCTGTCCCCGGTGGGCAGCAGAGTGGCCACTTGGGGCCTGCCTAACAGGACTCACCTTGCACGGGCCATGGGAGTCACAGGGTGCTTAGGGTCAGGCTTGAGGGCAACCCCAACGCCCTCTACCTGGTATGTACTAATGCCACCACCTCCCGGGTGTGTGCATTTCATTTCTGAGGGCAGCTGGCTCAAGAGCACTGTGTCACACAGGCCCTCCCAATAGCAACACTAACTCGAACAGGGATTGACGACGGATTGTTGTTTGAGACAAGGTCTCACTGGGTAGGCCAGGCTAGCCTCGTACTTGCCACCCTGCTGCCACAGCTCCCGAGTGTGCCACCCACCCAGCTTTGCTGCTAGGGTCTTGACAAAGTGGAGCCAATGGTCTTGAACTCACCGAAGATCCCGCCCACGTCAAACAGTGTGGACAGCTCCCCAGCTTTCTTGGCATCCAGGTGATCTGTTGAATGAGCAGCGTATGAGCCCGTGAGGACGCGTCCTTGGTGATTTTCCCAGGGGGACCCACGCAGGACTCTGCCCCACGAGCGGATTCGCATCAGAAGCAACCACCTGAACTCAGATTTAAAAAGGAGGTTGGCTGATGCATTTCACCCCAGCTCGGCAATGCCTGGCCATCCTTGAGCCCTTGGTTTGGCCACCACAGGGGCATCAGCTCAGGAAAGAGGGCAAGTCCAGGAAGTTACCTGGTGTGTAGATGGTTTGAGATCAGAGGCAGGGCTCCCTGAGAGCAATGGCCAAGAACACTCAGCCAGTCATCCAGTGAAACTGAGCATGTGATACTGTGTGCTACCTGACTAGAGCCTTCTGGTACCTTAGTGGCAGGATGTCCTTCACATCCCTTGGCTTCCAGTCAGATGGAGGCTGACTAGTATGAGGAGACAGTTGGGAAGCACTTAGCTGGCCAGACCCATCTCCCTCGTTCTGAATGCCACCTGCAGGGAACTGGGCTTGGCTCAAACCAAAACTGAGACTGGGCATCCAGGAAATTCAACACTCCAGTCAAGACTGTTCCCTGGTGAAAGGGAGCATGGCCTCCTGCTGAGACTCCTCGTGAGACTGTACTCTGCACTTGAGATGAGGTGGGAGGGGTACTAGGTGGGGCCCTGGGCCCTGAGGGAGCTCCTTGCAGTCTGCTCACCCACCCTCTTTTCTTTTGCTGCTTGTCCTTGTTAGCCATGCCCCTAGAAGGTCCCTTTGCTGCCTCCCCAGCTTCCCTGGCTGAGGTGACAGTCCCTCCAGCTTCGGGCTCTGGTCAACCTTGATGTGGCCCTATGACACCCTTGAAATCTGACTCCCCATTCTCAAAGCCCTCCTTCCTGGGCTATCGCCAGAGCCCAAGGCCAAGGCTCTATCTACAAATCCCTGTTGCTTTTCCTCCCTCCCCTGCTTCAGTATGCCCTGCGACCCCCACCCCATCAGTAAGGGAACCTGAGACAGCCCTGACTTGGTTCTTGGGAACTGCTGATCCCCTTGTCATGCTATGTACAAATGATGCACAGCTATATAGTACTATTTCCCGGAACATCCTATCAGGATCCGCAGCTTCAGACGGTCTTGGACTCTGGTTATCTAAGACAGGCTGTCAGCCCTCCCACAAATCGGAACGCACCCCCAGCAACAGTTTCTAGGTCAGATTTCTAAGGATGTCTTATCTCAATTCCCAGTGGCCACGCTCCTGCTTGCTGGCTGCTGTGCTCCAAAGCCCGACATGGCCCAGATTTAAAAGCAGGCAGCCTCCAAGAACTGCAGAGGGGTCGGGATGTAGGTGACAAGCCCAGTGAAGATTATTACCAGAGCCACAGAGTGTGCGTGCCTCCACAGCCTCTCCCATCGGCTGAGCATACCATCCCTGTCCACTCACCATGTGTGGTCCCTGTTAGGAGGCTCTGGCCCAGCAGGTGTAAAGGAGTTCTGGGCAGTCAGCGCACAGAACTGAACCTCACTTCCGGCAAGCACTCACCGACACTGGTGATGTACAGCGGGAGCCAGAACAGGAATGTGTAGCTGACCAGCTTGGCGAACAGCAAGCACAGAGAGAACTCAATCACGCCCTGGAAGAGGGAGGTGATGATCAGCTCCAGGTGTGGGACTGGCAGTGTGTCTCCAGGTGTGACTGAGTATAAATGGCTAGTCCCCTGCAGATGTGCTATGCTTCTACAAGGTTCAACCTTGCTCAGGGGAGGATGCGACGGGGAGGCGAACCCCAGGAGATCTGGAGCACACACTCGCCTGGCCGCCTGGAAGGCAGAAATCTGGTGTCTATATCCAACAAGAGCCAATGGGAATATATACTGATGAGATAGTCATGCCAATGATGGCCAGTGATTTCCTCCTGCGGGGAGGAGGGATGCTCATCAAGACTCAGGAACTGGGCCGGGGAGATGGCTCGATGTTTAAGAGCACTTGCTGTATAAGCAGACCCTGAGTTCAAATCCCCAGCACACACATAATAAGCCAGGCATAGTTGTGAGTGTCTGTAACTCCAGCACTGGAGGGTGGGGATAGGCAGATCCCAGAACTCACCGGTCAGCTATCTAGCCAAATCGGCAAGTTTCCAGTTCAGGGAGAGACCCTGCCTCAAAGTAATAGGGTGGGGAGTGATAGGTGAAGACACCTGACATCTTCCTGTACATACATGGCCTCTGCATATATGTACATGGGTGTGTGCACCTGCATACTCATGTGTACACACACACACACACACACACACACACACACACACACACACACAGAGTGAACCCCATCACTACCACCATTGGTGTTGTTCAGTTGTTATCATAGAATGAGGATGGGAGGGAGTGTGTGGTCCACCATTAGCCTGCTGCATGCCTGGCATGCTCCGCGCTGGGATGAACTCATCTCACTTCATCCTCAGATCAACAAATGGCACTGCACCAGGGGAGGAGCCCAGTGATGGGCAAACAGAAGCTCGGCAGGGATGCTCAGGCCAACTGGCCAGGCAGGGGCAGAGAGAGCATGAAAGCTGTGCCAGACCTCCAAAGCCTGTCCTGTCCACATCGCCCTGTGACCTGCATTTCCATGCCAGTCTGTTCCCTAGCCGATGTCTACAGAAGTATTTGGGGGCAGCAATCTACATCAGTAGGGTACCACAGAAAGGCTGCCAGCCCCTAGTAAGAACACAGTCTTAGAAATGAGGTTCGTAGCCAGGTGGTGGTGGCACAAGCCTTTAATCCCAGCAAAGCTACACAGAGAAACCCTGTCTTAGGAAAAAAAAAAAAAAAAAGAAAAGAAAGAAATGAGGTTCATTTAAAACTGTCATCTTCCATTGGCTGGCTGCGAGGCCTGTTCAGGAAGCCAGTGCTCAGGTCTGCGCTTGAGCTGTGGAGACTGTCCAGGGCTCACAGCTATACGCTGTGAGATTGCTAACTCAGGGCATTGTGGGAGCCAGCTGACACTAAGGGCCAGAGCATAGTCAGGTCCAGCTGCTTAGGACCCTAGCAAATTGCTGGGTATTCTTCTGTAACCTCTACTCCTTCAGGCCTTGCCTTCCCTGTGGCCACAAGGCACACTGGACACTCACTGTGATGTGAAACAGAACATGCTCAGTAGAGCCACAGGACAGCGAGCACAGGGTGCCTCCTGGGTAGCACCCTGTCCCCTTAGAGCCAGAAGGCAAGTGACTGGGAGGGCAGAGAGCCAAGAGGGACAGAAGGTATCATGGGTACAGACAGCTTTCTGTTTTTCAAATGAAAATATTTGTCAAATTTAATCTATGAAGTTTCTGAGTGGAAAAATTAATTTCAAAATGATAGAAGAGATAGTACAAAACAAAGAGATCATATGCACAGCCACATTTACCCCAGAGTGACCAGCCACACTGCTAACACAGGACGGGAGGATCTGACCCACCAACCACACAGACACACACTTCTCTTTCAAACTCACCAAGGCCCAGTGCTCTCCCGCAGTATGTTCTCTCCCTGGCATGCAGACTCACCGGGATCCTCAGGGCTCCTGTGAAGCTGATGGCCGCCATGCTGCCGCTGCCGTCACCGGGAAGGACAACGATGTGGCTCGGGTGGAGGGGGCTCTTCCCATCAGAGAGCAGTAAGCATTGCAGCTCTGGGTCCTGGACACAAAAGGAACAGGGGTGTCTGGCTGAAGTGAGGCCAGAATTCTAAGTGAGTAAGTCACCGGGTTTCCTGCTAAAAGCCTTAGGAACACACGTGGGTGACACTGTCAACCCCATGGTCACATCAGCTGTTAATATCCACCTGGCTCATGAAATGCCACTAACTCATGAAACTCTTTGGTTCAGAAATAGTGAAAAACAGAAAAATGGACCCCATGTCGCTGTGGAGAAAGATCAGTGGGTTAAAGCACACCCGTTTGGATTCTTAGCATCTCTTAACATAATCAGATATTTCCATTATGATCTTATCAGATGTGTCCAGCCTGCTGTGCAGGGCTGACATGTCACCAAAGATAACTCAGGAATGCACCCAACACAAAATTATAAACATACTTAAAACATGAAGAGATTTTGTAAGTGTGCATGCGTGGTTTTTGTTTGTTTGTTTAACTCAATCACACAGTTCTCTGGCATGAACCTTGCAGATGACAACATGGTTGAATATGCCTGAAAGGATGGTTTATGTATCCGTCCACAGCAGTAGGATGCTTTTCTGGAAAGAGAGAAGCTAAACTCTAAACAGCAATGTGGTCACTGTGCGGTAGAATAAGGTAACTTCATGGACTTGCTCGTGAGGAATTCATCACAGGACCTTGGACCTTGCAAGGAGTTCACAGTGGACAAACGTTGCCAGAAGTGATGTTACTTTAAAATTTACAAGCCAGTTCTGAGATCCGCGCCTTCCGATACTGGGGACATTCCTGAGGGACAGAATTTGTGCTCACTGGAGCAAAGCAGAGAGATCCCAGCTCTGCATGGGGTTTTGAGTCAGAGCAAGGGTAATACGAAAAGGCTTTTCCCGAATGAACCATGAATCCCAGGGGCTTAAAAAGGAGTGTTTCTGTGTACTACAGATGTGCTGTGGGATTCAACAGCTACTGATGTGCTTTGTCTTACTGTAACCCATGTAAGGTGAATTCAAATTACAGTAGATTTTTTTTTTTTAAAGAAAGACAATGGGGCTGGAGAGATGGCTCTACAGTTAAGAGCACTTGCTGCTTTAGCCGAGGACCCAGGCTCATTTCCAGCATTCACAAATGCCTGTGATGCTAGCTCTAAGGCTCCAGTGCCCTCTTCTGGCCCCTCTGGGAACGGCACACACATTTCACATATAGACAAGCAGGCACTCAGGCACACATATCAAAACAGATGAAAGCTAGGTGGCAGGTTTGACATGCAGACACTCAGCATTGTGTGGGAGCTGGAGATGGACACATCAGCTGGGCCGGGCTCACTGACCAGGAGGACACTTTCACACCAAACCCGTGTGCAATACTGAAGGAAGATGAAAGGCTCAGGTGTGAAGGAGGGACACATTCTGTTCGGAATGTGTCCCTCACACCCACAGGGAACAAAGGGCTGCCCCTCACATTGGGAACTGGCTCTCCTCTCATGAATCAAGCCAGGTGTCCAGCTTGGGAGACTCTTCACTAGTTCTCTGCCAGACTTAACACTGGCTCCTCTGAGACTCCATTCCTGGGCTGGCTGAGCTGTGAAAATCTCTGAACAGCTCCAGGCTGCAGGATAGTCCCAGGGGCCCAAGCTGAGACCTGCAGGACTTCACAGGCTCTTTTAAACAGAAAGAGGCCTGGCCGGGGGTTAAGACTCAGCAAGCCACAAGGCAGTTTGCAAGTGCAGAGTCCACCTGGCCGGGAGAGGAGCAGTCTGTGACCTGGAGAGCAGTAAGAACAGGTCAACCACAGAAAGCCCACCTGCTCTCCTACAGGTAATGCCTGGGAGTGTACAGCGCCCTAAAGCGCCACCTGCTGGGCTGCCTTAAAGCTGCAGACCCAGACTGCTCTGCCTCTAGGGAAGGCTCATTCCCTCTGCAAGTTGGAAGAACTAGGAAAGTAAGTTAGTGGTATGTCTTCCAAAACAAGCAAAAGGGACTGCTATTTCCTTTCAGAGTGAACAAGAAGCCACTAGCTAACAAGAGACTCAATAAGCAGGTTCCATGTGTGCTCCAGCCTGAGGGCTGCATGATGAATGAGGGTTCTTCAGCTGGAGCCCTGCTCTTGACTTATGCTCCCAAGAGTGCGCGCGCACGCACACACACACACACACACACACACACACACAGGTTAGTGCTGTAACCGAAACGCCTCACTTGGATGTGCCTGCAGTCACACTGCGGGAAACCTGTCCTTGGTGAGGTCTGTGCTTCCCATCTAGCAAGCAAGGCACAGGCAAATGGGCTCGCCATCCTGAGGCTCCTGTGGGGTCTCAAGAGTGTCTGAGCCCTGGCCAGTCAGAGATGCCAAGGATGAAGAGAACAAGTGGCCACGGGGATGGGAATTATGACCACCTCAAGGCAACCATCGCCAGGCCACGAAGACCAAAGGGGGGTTCCCTGTGCAGCCTCTGCATCAAGCCTTGGGCCTGGCATGAGCAGCAGTGAGCGGCACCTGGGGTCAGGCTGGAATACTCTGGGAAAGGGGACAATCAGGGGGTCCTGCCAGGCTCGGGGACACCCCGTTACATATCCAAACCCATGGCAAGCGCAGAGGCAGGGGTTTGCTCAAGACACCATGTGAGCAGGGCCAGTCCCCACGGGAGTCGGCGTGAATAAGGCGACTGAGCTGTTATGTACCTGGCTTCTTGGTGGCAGTGAACAGACTTGTGGAGGGGAGAGAGGGGGGGAGGACGGAAGTAACACGCTGAAGCCAGAGGGAGTCTTTTCAGGCTAGTCACGACAAAGAACAAAATGTCAGCCTTCACAGTCACCGCAGAGGAGTGTCACAGAGGTGGGAACATTAATCAAGATGTGACATTGAAAAAGTCAAGGGAGCTGAAATTTTTGCAGGCACGCCCAGCCTCTTGACATTGAGACACTAGATGCCGTCATCTACAAAAGTCCACATTCGAGAACCACGCATCGGGCAGCATTCACAGCTCTGCCGGGATACGGTGCCCCTGGCCTCCGGGCTGCAGGATGGACAGATCTGTAAGCATTTCGGTTCACGAGCCACAGCCCACACTCTCCTTAAAGTGCAAAGACCAGGATGTATGTATGGGACATCATGTGTCTTCCTTCCCACACTCCAGGCACCATAAATAAATGTCCCCGGGCGATAAAGACCGTGATAGCAGGCTTAGTGCATTGATCCTTCAAGCAACCTGACTTCAAAATGAAAGAAAACGGCTATAACTTCAATGGCTAAGTCTAAATTGCTCCAGGAGGCTCAGCTCAGGAAGTCAATGAGCCGTCTGAGCAACTGAACCCGGAAGAAACTGTGTGAGAGAAGGGCAGGGAGAAAGGCCAGGCATGCGCAGAGGCTTCTGGGCTTGTTCTAGGGTGTGGATCAGGAACTTAGGACTTTTGTGCCTCAGTTTCTTCATCTAGAAAGTGGAGGAAAGGTAAGAGATGCCCTTTATGACACTGGCCACCTTTTCTTGGGCCTGTGACATGAACTCTTTGTATCACTTTGTCCACGGTGTGCGCCTCCTGTCCAGTGTGCCCCGACTTGCAACACCCACCTGCCATACAGCTGTGTTGCAGCGACACCTGCTGGGCCCAGCTGGAACAGCACCTGCTTGCCCTATCTCTCCACTTGGGGTACTACTTAGGTGGCCGAGGCCTCTGCCCACTTCCCATCTGCACCTTCCTCCTCAGCCCTAACACAACCTTGGGCAGCGGGCTCTTCGGCCAGCAAACAACTCCTGGATGGATGAATGGCTTTCGGAGTTGATCGAAGACATGTAAGTGTAGCTGACTGTCTGTCCAGAGAAAGTCACCAAAGGTGACCTCAAATGCCCTTGAGGAATACAAACAAACCCAGTGAGTGGTTTAAAGAGCCTGGATGCCTGAGACATGACTGAGGCACAGGGACAGCCAGTCGGCTCACAGGACTCCAGGACTCGGAGATGCTTCTGAATCTCTGAAGACGTCCCAGCAGGTGGGAGCCTCGGGTCACTCACCAGAGGTCCGTTCTTTTCGGTGTGCGTGGTTTGCTTCTGCAGTCTAAATCTGTTGATTCCGTTCTCAGAGACTTTGGAATGCTGGAAGAAAAGCATCTCATTAGAGTTCCTCAATAATGTTTGGACTGGGGCTGGGGAGGTGGCTCGGCGGTTAAGGGCACTGACTGCTCTTCCGGAGGATCCGGGTTCTATCCCCAGCACCCACATAAGAGCTCACAACCTTCTTAACTGCAGTTCCAGGGGATCTCATGTACTCTTCTGCCTCCATGGGCAGTGCACACACATGGCGCACACACATACATGCAGACAAATGCTTACACACTAAAAGCTAATACATTTTTTAAAAGGAACACTTCTGTCCCTGCAGAAAAATGATGAGGGAAAAAATACAGTAAATGACCAGAAACATGCTGCTGTTTCATGACTTCCTGGGAAAACTCCAAACACCCACACTGCACCACTTCCTTGAAAGCTCACGGTTCAGTGGTCTGTTGAGGCAGAGCCTTGTGTCCACCACTGACCTCAAGCTCAGAAGGTTCCTCACCTTCAGGAGTCTGTCACCTGTGCCCTCCCTAGGCCCACACTCCCCCCCCCTGCCCCCCGATTCGCCCGTCCCCCGGGATTTGTCCTCTTCCGGGTGCTTTGTGAAGTGCACGGATTGCTTCACTAATGGCTGTTTTACTAACAACTTAGCAGCGGCTTCCTTACGTAGTCTAGATGCAGGTCCCTCCCAAGCCACGATTTGCAAATATTCCCGTCCTGTGGGCCTGCCTCACTTAAGATGAAACACAACCGTCTTGAATTCTGACATTTTCCCCCCTTCAGTTCTGCTGTGCTATGGCTGAGCACCCCCATGACTTCATGTGGTGAAGCTGAACCCCACTGTGAAACGTTAAGAGGGTGGAAGTACCCGCTGTTCTGTTTATGATCCCCGCCCAGCCTGCCACAGAACCCTCAGGACATCTGAGCTCTGGGAGACCCCAAGGACTCCCTCAGACATTTGAAAAGGAGAAAATTAAGATACACTTTGGCCTTCTGGCCAAGATCATATAAAGGGGGAGAGTCAGGCAGACCCAGCCCAGACTTAACTCTGCATCACACACACACACACACACACACACACACACACACAGACACACAGACACAGTAGCTTGGGCCTGGCCTGGTCCCTGTACCTCTGGAACTGGCTGTGAGGAAGAAGTCACTTCTAAGACGTCTCGCTTCCCCAGGTGTGGCCACAGCCGTCCAGAGGGACAGATGTCCCCATGAGGAAGCGAGTGTCCAGGTTCTACTGCATCTAGAGGTTAGGCACCCATGTGACTCGCAGAGGCCTCAGATCACAGTGGAAACATCCCTGGCTGGCTCTGTAAGCTTGGACTCTGAAATCTACGCTTCGGCAGGGACATGGCTACTCTTCCAGATTACTCTTCTTTGCTTACTTTGGTTGTGGTTTCTAAAGAGCCAGAATGCCCCGCTCCCTACACCACCCCCAGCCCACAGCTGTTGAGCCTCAACCGGAAGGGGCTCTGGTGCCCTCTGCTGGACGGTTCAGGCACTGTCCACAGGGCTGAGAGCTCGGGTTTGCTTGCTATTCACGGGAAGGTCCTAACATTTCCCAGGGCAAAGGGTAAACAGGTTAAGGGCGATTTTATGCTGACAGAAATGGGGATCACTGAGGGATGTCAGGCCAGGCTGTGGTGACAGCCTCTGCCAGTGGAGCTGAGGGTCAGCAGGAAGGGCTCGGTAGGTGGTGATGTGGGCTGAGAGAGATTCTTGTCATGTGTGAGGCTGTGGCCAGCCTCTCCCTTCTGGCAGTGTGGGCTGCAAAGAGGACTAGGCTGTTCTGGAAGGGGATAGGAGACGGAGGAGCTCTTACCGTGGGCAGGGTGGAGGAGCACCTGATGTCCTTCGGATCTGAAAGAGCACAGAGGTGACGGTGGCTGAGCGTGGCTGCCCACAGCACATGAACCCACCCGGGGCCCTCAGCAGTCCTTGGGGTGCTGCTGGCAACGGAACCGCTCTTCACCTGGCGTTCCTGCTAAGTTTAGGGTCTCTTCTCACAAAAAGAGTAACAAAAGAGGGGACTGTGTGAGTGGACGGGCATGCTTCATGACCGTAACTTTTATTAGCCATGTGCCCTTGAATGGACGTAATAAGGTTCATTTGAAGAGAACAAGACACCACCATCGGGTGGTTCTCACTGAATAAACAGAAACTGAAGGAAGAAAGACTGCCTGGGCCAAAGGCCTAGGAGGTTGAGGGCACAGCCCAGCTCCCCTCCAGGAAGTGCCAGGCCACGGGGGTGGTGGACACGACTTTGTAGAAAGAGCTTGACGGTGTGGCACGTCAGCCTGAGCTAAGGACACAGTGGACCCGTGGGGCGCTTAGATGGAACACGAAAGCAGGAGGCTAGTGCCGGAGCACGGTGAGAAGGGCGTTTAAAATGGGCGGTGAACGTCCACGAAGTAAAAGTGAGGACATCAGACGGCTGCCAGAGAAAACAGAATGCCAGCGTCGCTGCAAGTGAGGGGTCACGAAGAGGTCCTGCCTGTCCCGCCACCTGAAACTCATCCAGTGGCCTCCTGGGCCTTGGGTGGTCACTCAGCTCCCCGAGCAAGCAGCGGCTTGTGCCTGAACCCTGTGTACTTCAGGGAGAATGCGTGAGAACAGCCCTGGAGCCTGACGCAGTGTCTGGGATGCAGGCAGCACTCCACATGGGACATTCTCTGCCTGCCACCCAGGAAAATGTCCCAGTTATGACAGATGAAGAAGCAGGGCGGATGGGGGGTCTCAATCCCAAGGGAGCAGGGCCAAGTTCAGCTCTTCTTGTAAAAGTGTAGGAGGTGGAGGTGACCTCGGGCGTGGTTGGCACGGCACAGGGGAGCCGTCCTTGTGGGGAGCACAGCCATGTCCAGACTGAAGCAGAGCACAGTTGAGCACCAGGCCCTGGAGACAGCCTTGTATTGTACAGGGAACGGGGAGGGGAAGGGGCCCCCCAAGGCACCATGACCAGGCCTGCGGCCAGGGACGGGTATGGGGACAAGCCACTTCAGTGAAGTGCCCAAGAGAGGCGGAAGCAGGGGTGGGAGGTGGTTGAGGAGGCAAACAAGCTGGTATGAACTGGGGCCCACATCAGGAGGGCATCGCGTGGAAGTATGAGGACAGGCATGGCGGTGAACAGAGCAGTGAGCTTTGACTAGATGGCAGGTGGTCTTCCTCACACTTGGCAGTGACCACCAGACACTTACATAAAACATATAAACAACCCCAGGAACTGAGGAGGGATGACCGCTACCAGAGGCCAATCCTGAGCCCAGGCTCGGGGTCCCAGCTTTATCTCTATGCCCTGGCACTAGGATACCCCACCACCAGCAGCAAACCACCTTCCTGTCCAGGGCCAAGAAGGACTGGGTAGGCAGGAGACACAGACCAGCTCAGAGGAATGGTCCTGAGCACATTGGCTCTAGCAAAACTTTCCAGAGAAATGGGCAACGCCAGGTCTGTGACTTCTAGCCCAGGCAGCTGGCTGCAAGGCTGGGTTGGCCTGAGGAGTGGAGACTGTCTGCCCCAGGGTGGACAAGGAAGAACAGGACCAAGGTCATGGCAGTAACAGGCAAGGAGGGCAGTGGGTCACCCTGGGATGGGACCCAGGGTCCAAGGAGCCTGATAGACAGTTCTCTCAGGATCATTCTGACCATGAACAGCAGGAGGGAGCTCATAAGAAGGAGGCTCCGGGTTGGTGAAAACAGAGGTCCACTGTTCTGGATAATTCTGTCCTAAGTAGGGGACAATGTCCTGTCCCCGACTGAGTTGAATGGCAACATCAAGCCTATGTAGCCAATGCCACACCCTCTGTGCTTCCTCCCATCCTCCTTACCCAGAACCAACCAGCTCTACCATCAGGTAAAGAAAAGAGCACACTCCCAGGGGACTCCAGAAGTGGGACAGGGCAGACACGGGGCCTGGAGCCTTAGCGAGGTGGAAGTGTCACTCTCCAGGTATCTGTAAGATGAATACCTGGGGAGGGGACAAGGCCCAGGAAGACAGGTGGCACAATGGCCTTTCTAAGAACTCCAGGGACTTGCCAGCTAGTTAACCCGTTGCCTTAGGACAGCAGCCACAAGGCCCTGCCTATCCCACAGTGCACTTGCTGGGGCCGGACCACCAGCCTGCCAGCCTGCCAGCCTGCGTGCTATTTCCTGGGACTCTGGGGAACACTGTGAAATGGAGCTAGGGAGCAGCCCACGTCATCCATTCTACTCATAGACCGCACATCTAAGTTCCAGGTCTGAATGTCCATTTCTGTTTTCACCTACCAGGAGGGCTGGCCGAGAGGGCCACATCTCCCTTGCTTGGCAAGATGGAGGTCATTGAAAAACTAACAGATTGGCTTGAACAGTGTGTTGGGGGGTGAGAAGTGAGGAACTGAACCCACTAACACATGTTCATTTCTTTGGTGAGGGTGGTGTGGAAGCTGGGGGTGGGGAAAGGTCAGTGTGTGCAGAGTAAAGAGGCTGAAGCCCTGGAGATGAGGACAGAGGCTGGGGACCACCCTGATACCCCAGAGCCATGTGCTTTCATCTTGCTTCAAGCAAAAAAAAAAAAAAAAATCTAAGAACTAAATGGTCAGACTATCTTATGAGACCAGGACCAGGATGAGGATCAGAGTGGCCACAGCAGGGGCTGCTCAAAGGTTCTTGGCTTGAAAAGTTAGTTTCAAAATTTGTTAAATCAGAAGTCCAGGGCTGACCAGAATAGAGCATGGACTTCATTTTCCCACAGACACTTTACCTAATAAGACATATGGCTTTCAGCCACACCACGGTTTTATGACATTATCCGAGACGCAGCTTATCGCAAAGTACACAAGCTGGTAAAGTCCATGTCAGCACGTGGAGGTGGCCGGGGTAAGCAGGGACAGCCACGTAGGCGGGGCCTGTGCCCTCGGATGTATGTACGGGGAAGACCTGAGACTTCCTGGTGACGCAGATACGCCCCGCTAAGGGAAGGATGGGGACCATAAAATGAGGGGGAAGGAATTTCCACAGGGGTCACCCAAGAAACTGGGGAAAGAGCAGAAAACCTGAGCAAGGCTAGGAGAGAATGGGCTGCTGGGAAAGTCTGTACCGGGCCTGGCTAGGGGACAGCCAGGGTGAATACAGGCACCCACGGCACTGCAGTCCGCACTAACCTGCCCTGAACAGGATTAAAGCCCAGGTGTCCATTTCTAGAGCCATGTATACTTACGTTCAATGAGAAAGAGAAAGCACACGATCCCCATGGCTGCCACGATGGCCCCGGGCACGATAAACGACAGTCCCCAGCATGTGGACACCCAGTAGCCGGCAATCAAGGACCCCAGAATGTTGCCCACGGAGGTGTGGGAGTTCCAAATCCCCATGATCAGGCCACGCCTACAACACAGCGTAATGGGACAGTGAGTGGGTGCAGTGGGGCCAAAACGGGGTCCACATGCAAGACGGGCGCGAGAGCATGGCAGCCCGAGAGCATGGCAGCCCGAGAGCTGGGGCAGAGGAGCCAGCATGGCCCCACAGAGGCTCTGTCTGCAGGCGCCGAGAGGCTGCCGCTGCTCCCTGGAGAACCGTGCTCTCTTTCTGCCGCAGGCTGCATCAGCGCGGAGCCCACCTTTGCTCAGAGATCCCCGAGTCTATGATTCAAAGAGGACAGAGGGCTTTTCCTACAATTCTTGGAAGGCTCGGGATTTAAACCGGTGCCTCCACAAACGTGGTAGTCGGTCGACTAGCGTGGTGACAGAAGCTCGAACCGACACACACGCCAAATGACTAAAACGGGCTTTCTAAATCGGGCTTCTGAGTCCATCTCCCGTTTTAGCGTCTCCATCTTGGGCGGCGTCTCTATGGTTACTTCACCCGGGCGAAGCTAGGCAGGGGCTGCAAGTGACTGACTGCACTGTCGTCGGATCACTAGAGCTGGGCCAGGCCGGCTGATTGTGGACTGGGTGACCTCTGCCAGAATGTCTCAAACCCCACGGCCAGATGCAGACTCCAGTTCAAGAGGCCTGGGGTAAGGGCCCAGACTCTGTGTTCTACAAGTGTGGTGGAAGCTGAGGCCAGAGGCCACACAGCCCTCTGGTGTGGAGTCCAGGTCACACTCCCTGCCTAAGCGACCGGGGAGAAGGCTGTGTTCTGAAGGTACATAGGTTCTGGGAAGGCTGTAGCCCCATGGGAACTGTAGAGCCTCCATCTTAGAGGTTTCAGTAAGTACATTGCTTCTAGGAGGAGCCTCATTAATGTTCCTGAAATAGGCTGAAAGAAAACCTGAAAATAATGTGGTCTAGTTTCTATCAGAACCTTAAAAAAAAAACCAAAAAACAAAAACCACCACCACCACCACCACCACCAACAACAACAACAACAAAAAACGCTGTTGAAGAGGGGGCCAGGTTTTCCTCACCTTCCTTTTCCAAACCAGTTGCTGAGGCACGTGACGACACTCGGCCAGCCTGTGGTCTGCACCAGCCCGTTAAGGATCTGTAGGTAGGAAAGAAGGCTGACTGAGGGGAGACACTGGTCCCTCCCCATCCTCCCTGTGCTGGGGCTCACACAGAAATAACAGCACTTTGTCAGTCTCAACCACCAGAGGTGAGAAGTAAGTTTTACATTTACATGTAGATTAAGCTATGAAATTTAAAATACATATGTAGCTCATATACATAAAATATATAGAAGCACAGATCTATTATAAAGTGTGTACAAGCCAAGAATAGTGGTATATGCCTGCCATCCTAGTTTCTAAGGTAGCTTGAGGCAGGGGGTCTGTCGAAGATGGGAGTTTGACATCTCCCTGGGTAACACAACAAGATTCCATTTCAAAAATAAAACACCACCACACACACACACACACACACACACACACACACACACACACACACACACGAAAAGTAAAAAAGCCAACCCAAGCCTTATATCCTTATATGGTGGCTCAAACCTAAAACCCTAGTACTTAGGAAGAATGTTGTGAATTTGAGGCCAGCCTGGGCTACATATGAGACTGTCTAAAAAAGTTAAAAATAGCTGGGCGGTGGTGGCACACACCTTTAATCCCAGCACTTGGGAGGCAGGCGGATCTTGTGAGTTCGAGGCCAGCCTGGTCTACAGAGTGAGTTCCAGAACAGCCAGGGCTACACAGAGAAATCCTGTCTCAAAAAACTAAAAAAAAAAAAAATTAAAATTAAAAAATAAAGCTGGGCGGTGGTGGCACACGCCTTTAATCCCAGCACTCAGGAGGCAGAGCCAGGCGGATCTCTGTGAGTTCGAGGCCAGCCTGGTCTACAGAGCGAGTTCCAGGGCAGGCACCAAAACTACACGGAGAAACCCTGTCTCTAAAAACTAAAAAATAAATAAATAAACAAACAAACAAATAAATAAAAAATAAAAATAAAGCCAACCCAGCCAGGACCCTCAGCTAGGAACATTCTGACAGGTCGGGCTCAAGCATTCCAGACTCCTTGGAATCTAAACATTCTGTAAAGACAAGAACTTTTCTCTTTATAGACTCGTTTATAAACTGCTACAAATTCACCTTAGAAATGGCATGTCTTCCCTGACTGCCCACGATGAAGATTCCTTCTCAGAAGCCAACCCAGCCTTGACCCAACTCTGGCATGCATTCCCGCCCTCTCCCAGAAGGTGCTGGACCTGCATTTAATGAAGGATCAGTACCAGGAGGTTCACTTTGGTGTCATCAGAACTGAGGCCATAGAAAAAAGCCCAGCCCAGTGCAGGCTGTTTCGCCGGACAGTGGGTCCTCCAGGAGGCATGCAGAGGACAGCATGCCCACCCGCTGATGCTCCTGGATCGCCAATCGGCCTTTACTAGAGGAGCATGCTGCGACTCTGGGGACTTGTTTTCCTGCCCTTCTAACTCTGTCTGTCGTTAAGGTCTTGAGGCTTCTGCATCCAAGGAGTGAAAGCAGAAGGATCAAATGCATTGTTGGGCCTGCGATGGCTGCATCCATACCGAACGGTCCATGTTCCCTAAGCAGTGTGACAGCAAGAGACACAGTACTCACACTGTGTTAGTTATTGCTGTGGATATCACTCTGTGTGCTGTGAATGTGTTACTCTGATTGGTTAATAAATGAAATGCTGATTGGCCAGCAGCCAGGCAGGAAGTATAGGCGGGACAAGCAGAGAATTCTGGGAAGCAGAAGGCTGAGTCAGGAGACGCTGCCAGCCACCCATGAGAAGCAAGATGTAAAGATACCGGTAAGCCACGAGCCACGTGGCAAAGTATAGATTTATAGAAATGGGTTAATTTATGATGTAAGATCTAGCTAGCAAGAAGCCTGAGCCATTAGGACATACAGTTTGTAGTTAATATAAGCCAATGTGTGTTTACTTGGGTACAAGGGGCTACAGGGCCATGGGAGTCGAGCAGGACTGGAAAAAACTTCAGCTACAAGTTATTATAAGTAATCTAGAGATAAGTAATCTACAGGAAGATGTGCATGGGAGCTATGTGAGCCCTATGCTGCTTAATGCACGGGACTTGAGCAGCCACGGACTTTGCTAACACAGATGTCCTAGAACTGATTCCTCCAGGGGTACCTAGTCACAGGCAAGAACAAAGCATGCTTGCAAGAAAGCAGTTCAGCTTTATTAAGCTCAATGGCACGGTTTCGAAAAGCAACATTAAACAAGAGTAGCTTTGGTTTTTTTATCACACCTTCCCCGCCCTTGGCCACCTGGAGGAACTGGGCAGCCCCATTTCCTTTGCTAGTCAATATTTACCCACAGAACTGCAGGAGAGGGCAGAAGCCAAGAGCTCCCACAAAGGCTGGGCTCTCCAGGAGGGCAAGCTGGGCTTCTGGTCCCACCCTGCCTGCACCTCCAGCACCTCTGTTTTGCCCCAGGCCCTTCAGTGAAGGAAGGTCTCATAGCTCTGTTCAGCGGGCTCTGCTCCGAGCCAACCCTTCTTTCCTACCCTGGCCACCCCCATGGCCACTTTGGAGTGATCACTAAGGTTTCGCAACTCATTGACCTGCCAGACTGACAGCTCCTGAAACAGGAAGTAGCCATTCAGGTGCTAGAGCACAAGCGGGGAGGGCCTTCCCGTGCCAGCTGCGGGAGACTTGACCTTGGAAAGGCGCTGTTCTGCCCCTCACCAGCATCTGCCTGCCATTGGCTCTCTTAGCAGAGGTGGGCTTTGGGACCTGAACATACACACCATCCTGTTCCTCACAGTGAGTGTGTGGGATCAGGCCCTTACCTGGGTCATCACGTAGAATCCCAAGCTGTGGATGTTATAGAAATAGCCCACGCCGAACAGGGCTGTGAAGGCGCCACTGGCCAGCATCCCAAATGTCAGGTAATACCTAATCGGCAGGCGTTCCCCTATTATGCCACTGAAGGAACAAGGAAAGAGACCAGCATGAGGAAACAGCCCAGCACACTGCCAACAGCTATGACCACGTCTCCCTCCCGGATGTCCTGTGCCATTCTCTGTGCCTCTAGACCTCTGAGCCCCACCATTTCCAGGGAGACCAGACAGGGATGTTTCTCTGTGGAGCTCACTCACTCCCATGGGAACTTTTAGACTCATTTCTCTCATAAAAATCACCAACTGCCAAACAATAAAACACACACCGTGACTCACACCACAACTGCCTACCAAAGCAGGACTTGCCCTGCTCCTTAAGCCTTTTATATCCCAAACACACAGCCAGGGTACAGAGCCATTTAAAGTGTCCATCATTAAGCTGCGGAAGATGACTTGGAAAGAGGACCACGGTGACCCTAAGCAAGCGGCCCATTCCATGAGCGGTAAACAAGAAACCTGTGTGAACACACCCGTTGGGTGGGTCAGCTAGGACCACACTCCCCTGCCTGGCCTGGCCAACCACTTCCTGCCACAGCCACTGCTGCCTGACTGTCTTATTTGGTGTCTAAGGCCCATCAAGAGGGGCGGGGCCTGAGTGCTAACAGCATCAGTGAGGCTCAGGGAACTGACTTATCTGGAGTCTTACCTTCCTGGGCTGTCTGAGGTGAAAGTGAGCTACATCCAGGTGTTAGGTCGGCTGTGACACTGTGGTGGTGATGGGCACGACAGGGCTCCAGCTTTGTAACAGGGCAGATACAGGACAGGCTGCTATCACATGACACCACCCTCTACCAACACTACCGAGGACACACGTGATTTCAGCAGATACAAAAGACCCCACGTGATCTTTCAAAACTCCACAGGAGCTGGAGAGATGGCTCACTGGTTAAGGGCACTGTGTCCTTCTAGAGGACCTGAGAGTTGGTTCCCAGCACCCATGTCAGGAAGCTTACAATTAACTGCCTGTAACTCTAGCTCCAGGGGATCCGATGCCCTCTTCTGGCCTCCATGGATACCTACACACACACACACACACACACACACACACACACACACACACACACACACACACACACACACACACCTTTAGAAACTCTAGAAAATCCACAAGTCACATTCCCTTCCACATAACCACTCCAGGACTCCAACAAGCAGGGAACGTGGGCAGACACCTGCCTGCCTGCCTGCCTGCCTGCCTGAGGGCAGCACCCTGGAGCAAGCGCCATTGTTCCCGCATCATCTCCAGAGCCTGTCTGCCAGCAAGCTTTCCCTTCTGTGCTCATCAAACAGGAAAAAAAAAATCTATCTAGAACCATGCAAATGACCTTTGAACACGAAAACAGGAGTGACGCACATTGACAACACCCTGGGGAGCAGAACTTAATCACAGAGACTGGAGAGCATTCTAGAGCTAAGGCTTATCTGCTCCGCCTTGCTCACTCCAGGGATTAGGGGACCTCTCAGGGGCTGCTAACCTGCCTAGGCAAAGGGGATGAATCATATGGGCTCCCCAGAGCGTCTGCCACTGGCTGCCACTGAGAGGCGTCCTCTTGTATGGCCCCCTGGTGCCACCAGGCACCTCCTCTCTGTTTATGAGATCTAAGGGACAATTCTGATGGAATGGACAACACCCCATATCTGATTCACAAAGGACTCCCACCCACGCTGCACCTGCTGATCCTGCCAGGCAAGACCTGGGTGCACCCATCTCCCGTGTTTTCATGTCCTCTACAGGGTCACATGACATCTACCGTCAAGACCTCAGTGGTAACTGCACAATGGTCTGAGGGCCGTCATGCCTTCTTGTCACGGCACAAAGCCCATCTGTAAAGTGGCAGGTGCCCTTGCCTCCCTTCTGAGATTTCGGAATGGACTTCATGTCCCACAGAACCCCATTTCAATAAACTCAATGATGAGCCACATGAGAAACTACCTTTGCCGGGAAAGACGCAACGAGAAACCCACTTTATTTACTAAGCTGGGTTTCTTGGGCCAGACATCTTTGGAGTGATGACTGTGCTGCGTCCTGGGGTGTTTAGCAGAACCTCTCATCTCTGCCCACTAGATGATGATAGATTTCCCTCTCTTAGCTGTGACAGCTGCAGATGTTTCCAGGCACCGCTGTGTTCGCTAGGGGATAAAATTGACCCCGGCCGAGAGCCAAGTTTAAGTACCACTTCCTAGTAACTGAGGAAAACCCTCTACATTGCATGCAGTCAGACAGACCAGGAGCATTTGCCCTCAGGAGGGTGTGTGACTGGCAGGCTGGTGGAGACTAGGCCCACACCTTATGGCTCTTTGGCCAGGCATACCTCATACCCTGGCACTTGGGCATCCTTCTCTTGTACACACAAGCTGAGCATCATCAGGTGGCATTTGCATCTGATAAGGGGGTTGTATATACCATTGGCAGGAATTGCTTGTCTGTATGTCACACACCACAGGGTCCCTGGACTGGGAAGGGCCCTGGGTCTTGATTCCACATGTTAGGAGGTTCTCAGAGAAGCAGTTAAACGCTTACAGAGATTCCCCGAGACTCCCAGGCTCCACGGGGTCTAAACAAAGTCTCTTGGGATGAAGGCTGTTAGTCTCTATGATGCTTTTCCTTAACTTCTCTCCAATTCTGGGGCTTGAACCCAGGCTCCCTTACATGCTGCGTATGCTAGGCAAACACCCTACCACCAAGCGATCTCTCTCACTCTTCAGCAATGTCATTTTAAAATATGGTGGGGATGACAACATCAACTAGTTTTTAACCAGCCACTTACTTGCTCTCTAACCCTGGGGACATCTACTACCTCCTAGGTCCATCCAATGACAGGAAAGAATATTTTCTGTACTGCAGGGCCCAGAGGACTGGAAAGGGTCAGAGCATGGACGCCCCTACCTCAGGTACATCCCAATGGCATAGGCGCACAGGAAGGAGTAATCCAGGGCTCCAAGTAGCTGCTGGTAGTTGTTCTTATCTGTGTGGGTTTGAGAATCAACAGAAGGGCTCAGAATTATTCAATATGTCCTACAGTTGAGCTATAAAATACAAAACCTATATTCTGCAAGTTCCTTCGAAAGGGAGGCACTCTAATTCCAAAGACGCATGGTAGCCCAACCACAGGCCAGCTTCTTGGGAAAGAAAATAAAGCCACTTCTTTTTCAAGTTGCCCTTGAATATGTCCTTCGGATTTGATGCAAACCACACTGGCTGTGGTGGGTTTGACTTTGCATTTCAAGGTCACCCGACTGGCCTGCGGCACCCCTCATCAGATTTTGCTTGGCAAGCCCTAACCTCCAAGTGTGACAGGCACACACTACAGGCTATCTTCTAGAGACCTCCCCAGCACATACATGCTTACTTAGGGGGTGGCCCCTCTGCATGGAAGAGCTGGTGACTGCCGAGTCATGTTTGCTAGGGGACAGTCGTCAACGAAACACACTTACACTCGAGGATGGCAGCACTGTCCTGAGACCAGCCAGGCTGTAGGAACCCCAATGGATGGCTGCCAAGATCCCTGAACAATGGAGCATCTGAACTCACCAAAAGGGGCCCAGCCACAGTCGGTCTCGTTGTCCAGGAGCCAGTGGGTGGGGCCATGCCTGGAACTGCTGCTCCGGCCACTGAATCTGGGCTCAGGCTCATCCCCTGCAGCACACTGCTTATGGAGCTCGCCCTACAGCAGACAGGGAGGTCGGGGTAGAAATAGGTTACTGGGGATGTCTCAACCAGACAGAGTGGCTTCCCTCCTCACAGAACAATGGCTTTTTGAGCAGAAGGAGGCCTCTGGTAGGCGTCTGAGGCCCACAGGAGTTCCTGCGGCCAACAGTAGGCTCCAGCAGCGTTTTGCAGTAACTCCAGTTCATGCCCAAACAGCCAACCCAAGCACCACCAGTCTCTAAAGGCCTAACAGTGGGGACAGCATCAGGCAAGAGAGCGCCAAACTGAGGGCCAGATGCTAGGCATCCTTGACGGTCCGTCCCTGGGGAAGGAAGGGGTTAAGAGCTGGATGCTGACAACTGAATCCTGCAGAGGAATGAAAGAAAGAGTTTTAGGTGTTTGCCAGAACAGGGCTGAGTCTCAAAACATGGCATTCAAAACACAGAGCCAATGGAACACAGGCTGCGTGATTTCATTTCCACGAGTTCAAGTGTGGGCGAGAGACACTCTTGCGGCAGGATCGATCTTATGGCTGCTTAGAAGGGGATGGTAGGGCTTGGCACAGGGGGGCTGGAAAAGCCCCACCTTAACTTAGGTGCTGGGTACCCAGGTGTACAGGCAAAGACCGGTCAAACCAGCTGCTTAAGATGAATGCATTTTATTGTGCACAGATCATTCATTTTATATACATATATATAAAATCAGCAAGGCAGGTGACCAAGATTGACCCACCCAGCTGGGAAGTGTGAGGACAGACTGCTGAGAACAAGTCACACAGTGTCCTGCCTTGGTCTCCCCCATCTGCACATGAGGCCGCTGCTCACTTAGAGAACTGAGATTATGATACTGACTACCAGGCTTTCTACACAGTGTGTGGGATGGGGCCACCCCCAGAAGGAAGTCACTTTTCCAGCAGGAGTAGGCCAGGACTATCTCCTGGGGAAACTGAGGAGCAGGGAACTGACTCTCACATCCATGTCTTCTGCACTAGATTTAATAAAGGTCCTGTGTCACACAGAGCTCAGCTGAAGCAGCCCCTCAGCTACGGGTGAAGGTGGCAAGGAGGACCTTCTGGGCAGGGGGATACCCCTCAGGAGACAAGGAATCCTTCCAGTGTCCTGGAGGTAGTTCCCTGAGCTGGATCCTGAAAGTCATAGGGGCCCAGAGGCTGGTACAGAAAGCGGGTCTTGCTATAGCATCATGCAAGAAGCCACCAGGCCACCATGCACGTGGCAAGCTTGTCCACCTCCATTAGGACAGAGTAGCTATTGTGAGGGCAGGTCGTCTGAAAGGCTGCCTTGGTCATCCTGGCTGCTCAGCATGGCACATCGATGTGGCATCTGTACATCACTGGCTTTGTGCACACCCCTGTGTTGTTCTGACATCAATGTCACCCCAAAAGCTCACCACTTTATAAACTGATTATCTTCTCACAAGCTTCCACTGACAGCACGGATGTACCATAGAGGCTCTGGCTTCTCTGTCATGCTGGATAGAACACGGACACTCGGCCCTTCCCCACTCAGGCCCCTGGCTGTCCCTGCCAGGGCTGCTAAATATGTGTGTGTGTGTGTGTGTGTGTGTGTCAGGGGTGGGTGGTGGGTGGTGGGTGGGGTGTTGGCGGTGGCTCAGGATCCACTAAGACCTCAGTTTCCTGGCTACTTAATAGGTGAGAATTTCTGCCTTCCTTACGACATTCTTTCTCAAGGACACCACACCCAAGGGGGCTTCTCTGTTGCTGCTCACTGCGGACAGTCACAGGCCAGGAGGATCATCTGCAGGACTAAGCGAGCATGTTAGCCTCCACGAAAGTAAGGAATATGGATTCTACAGGCCATACTCAGAATAGAATTCTGTGACTTAACCTGCCTGGGGAACATTATCCAAGGAAATCAGAACAGGTTAGAATGATCCAAAATCTTCCATAAGCCACAGGCAAGGTTTTCAGGTCTTAACTATCTACCAGGAGTGGCACCTAGCATCCCGGTTAGTTAGGGTCACAGAAAGGCATGGACTCGAACCATGGACTACTGGTGGCTGCTTGTAACTGACTGACCTCAGTACACTCCCTGGCCATCAGCTCTGAAGCCATCATGACAACAACTGGAGTCACAGGGTGGCTGAAGGATGGACTTCACACACAGAGCACCGCCCAGGTCCTAGCCTTCCCCTGGGGCCAGCGCCTGGGGACTGACTCCACGATGCTTGGGCACAGCTCCTGCAGCTAACCTCTCGTCTCACTGGACACCATATTCATCTCCTCTCACTGGACACCATATTCTCACATCTCCTCCCCAGCCTTTCATGTTAGAAATGTCATCTTTGCCCCTCCTGTAGCCCTGCTGGGAGGCTGCTTCCAAAGGATGAAGGACTCTCTAAGTAAGCACATTAGTTTTCAGTAACATTGCTCTATTTTAACATTTCAATGACGTTGGTCTGAAAACCTAGCGTTGGGTGGCAGAGGTGGGGGGTGGAGAGGTGTGGGGGGTGGGGGTGGGGTGGAGGCGGGGACAAGGACACATATGCATAATTAAGCCAAGTCCAGCAAATTCTCACACTGGGCTGCAGTGAATTCTCACAGTAGGCTCCCATGGGATGATTGTCAAAGAAGCATTTTGGGGAGGGGATGTGTCCATTGAGAATCATAGTTTATGTCAAAGCAGTGTCCTTTGCAAAAATTTTCAGGATTCTCTTCCAACAAGCTCCACAGAAAATCTACCAGCCTGTTACAGCAGCTGGTTAATAAGACCTGATCTAGGAGATTAGCCTTGTCAGTTAAAGTGTTCACCTCGAAAACTTGAGGACCTGAGTTAAAGCTCTGGAACCCATGGTGGGGGTGGGGATGGGTACGGCAGTGAGTGCTTTTAATCCTGCATTGGGGAGGCAGAGACAGGCAGATCTCTAAGTAGAGAGGGCTAGCCAGATGAGCCTGCTTGGTGAGTTCTAGGCCAGTGAGACTCTGACTCAAAACAACCAGGTAGAAAAGGATTAATGAATGACACCTGGAATTGATCTCTGGCCTCCATATGCATGTATAGACATGTGCATCTGCATACACACAGACATGTATGCACACACATGTATGCTCACATACTCTTCTCACACACACACACACACACACACAAGAACGGATCAGTCAAAAGAGTGTGTCAGGGCTGGTGTAAGAGCTCAGCAGACAAGGGTGCTTGCTACCAAGCCTGGCCACCTGAGTTCAATCCCCAGGACCATGGTAGAAGGAGAGACCCAACTCCCACAGGACACCTTTTGACCTCCCAATGCACCCTCCCCACACATAAAATAAATAAATGTAACTTAAAAAGTAAAAAAAAGGGCCGGGCGGTGGTGGCGCACGCCTTTAATCCCAGCACTCGGGAGGCAGAGACAGGCGGATCTCCGTGAGTTCGAGGCCAGCCTGGGCTACCAAGTGAGTTCCAGGAAAGGCGCAAAGCTACACAGAGAAACCCTGTCTCGAAAAACAAAAAAAACAAAAAAAAAGTAAAAAAAAAAAAAGGACAGTGGATCCCAGCTATAGGTGCCCTAACTTCTTAACTTTTTACTCAAAATGCTCCTTGGGAACCTCTGTGTCGCCAGCTCAACTTTGACAGTTCCCGTAGGCAGTCACCTATTTCATTTACTCGTCATTGTCTCAGACTTTCACCTACTGAATGTGCTCACGCACTTCGTTTTCCCTTTGGGTCAGTATAAACAACACTGCAATGGGGACATTTACACTGGCTGGGTGTGGTGGGCCAGGCTGTGATGCAGGACTCAGAAGTCGGAGGCAGGGTTGGTGTGTTTCCAAGGCCAGCCTGGGTTCCATAGTAAAACCCTGCCTCAAAAAAAAAAAAAACAAAAGCAAGATACGCCCTTCTAAGACCCACCCCCAGATGATCCATTTCCTCTAGCTAGACCTTCCTTCAGGATTCGTCCACCTCCCAATTGTCTATTCAAATCTGAATCCAGCAGCGGTTAATCTGGGGACAGGCTAGAGCTTGTGTGATCTGTTGAGATCCTCCCATCTCCTGGGTATCACTCAGCCATCAAGTTGACAAGATTACCCATTCCAGGCAGCAGTTGAAGTGCTAAAAACTGAGCTGCACCCTCCCCATGCCTATTCTATCCAGAGTTTTGCCTGTTCTCAGTCTAATACTTTGATTATAGTACTTCAAAATGTTTTTTTTTATTTTATTAAAATGTTATCTTTTACACTTTCCCTGGTGATTCTTTTTTTATTTGTTTGTTTTTGTAGAAACAGGGTCTCACTATGTGGCTCTGGCTGTCCTCGAACTCACTATGTAGACCAGGCTGACTTCCAACTTAGAGTGCTGGGATTAAAAGAGTGCACCACCACCACGCCCAGCTTTTGGTGATTAATTCTTAAGCAGCATCTTTTCATATAAACTTTATTCAATTAAAGAATTGGCTGGGTTTGACAGCACACGCCTCTAACCCCAGCACTTGGGAGGCAGAGGCAGGCAGATCTCTGTGAATTAGAGGCCAGTGTGCTCTACTTGAGTTCCAGGCCAGTACGGGGCACATCCTGAGACCTTGTGTATAAAGGAAATCTCTGCCGAGGTTTTCCCCGTGACCACAGGAAGCACTGGAACTTTTCAGAAAACAGCTTTCCTTGACAGCTCTGACTCGTTCAACTGTGCTTTTCTGTGTGCCCTGGGTCTTTACCATTTTCAATTCTGTGCGCAAAGAGGGATGTCTACACGCACTCCAGAGACCCTGCAAAAATAATTCTCTGAGAAACCATCTATTTACAGGTTCTGCTCTGGCTCAGCCTGGAGGAGAGTCCCCCAAAGTTCTCCTCCAAGGGGACAAGGACCCCATCTGTCTACCAGCCAGGGAAGACATCTGCCTCAAATAAAGATGTCTGGCTGCAGGTGGAGGATCATGGGAAGGGACAACATTGTCCTCCCAGCCCTGGGTTTATCATTGTGTTTTTAAAGGGTACATTTTTTTTTTAAATCAGAGAAAAATAAAAGTAATCAGTGATGATTCAGGGCAAGTGTAACCCTGATTGACCCAGCATCACTTGACAAATGAGTCATAATCACTGGCAAATCACCACTCATTCTCAGCCTCGGGGTCCATGTCCAGTAAGCAAATGTATTCCAGCTTTGTTTATAACCTTCTGGGAAATACAGACTGCAGATAGTGACTCATGGGGTCCCTGGTAGGATCATTCCCTGTCCCTGGTGCCATTTGTGTCATTTACAGCCGGAGCTGAAGCGGGTGCATGCTTGCCAAGGCTCTGTGGAGTCTAAATCATATGTGGAGACAGTCTTGCCTGTATCGGGAGGCAAAGCAGCCTGTGGGTCTCAGCCTAGGGCTAATCCACACCCAGACGCACTGGCAAGTCTGGGCGTTACAGGGAACCCTACAAGATGCTGACTGCGTGCAAGGAATTAGCTGTCTTGGAGACTCCGGGCCAGCACTGTCAAGAGCAGAGACCTGGGGCTGGAGTGACAGCTCAGCATTTAAGAGCACAGGCTGTTCTTGAATAGAACCCTGGCTTGGTTCCCAACACCCACATGGTGGCTCACAATTGTTCATAATTCCAGTTTGGGGGTATCTGACACTCTCTTCTGAACTCTGAGGGCACCAGGCATGCATACAATGCGCATACATACATGCAGGCAAAACACTCAAACACATAAATAAAAGTAAACAAATCTTGCCGGGCGGTGGTGGCGCACGCCTTTAATCCCAGCACTTGGGAGGCAGAGCCAGGTGGATCTCTGTGAGTTCGAGGCCAGCCTGGGCTACCAAGTGAGTTCCAGGAAAAGGCACAAAGCTACACAGAGAAACCCTGTCTCGAAAAAAACCAAAAAAAAAAAAAAAAAAAAAAAGTAAACAAATCTTATAAAAATAATAGAGACGAGACCCTGGAGCCAGAGGACTAATGTAGAAGACACTAACATGAGCTCACTTACTCCCGATGACACCCCCAGGGCTGCTGTGAGGTCTGTATGAGACAGCAAACCCAATAGACCATTGGTTATGGAAGTCTGGTTCAATCCAAGACACCTCCTCAACCCAGGGTGACTTTTGCATACCTAAGCAAGGAGAGTGTGACCTTGGACTACGCTCACACCACTTCCGGGCAAAACCCTGATGCTTTGAGTTCAAGGGTCAGGTCATGCCCCAGAGACCCTCTGGTGGCTAGCCCCCACCTCACTCACCATACCTATCCCACAGGCAAGTGACTCCATGGTGACACTCCACCTTCTACCCGGTACAGGAAGTTGTCCCTCCCCCGCCATGCAGGCCCAACCCTTCCAGCTCAGTCCCGGAAGCCCCAGCAAGGCTCCCTGACTAACTGTGCTTCATCCCAGGTCTTAGGTGCTCACTCAGGCCCCTGCAGGGGGTGGCCTGCCCTTGCCTTCTGTGATGTGCCTCTGTCTGGAGTCACGTGTGAATTTCTCTAAGCAGGAAGAGTCACAGAGACAGCATTCAAATTTCCAGGGCTGGTCACTGGCTAGCCCTTGTCACATGTCACCAGGAGCTTTTAATGCCACTTACTGACTACTTTCCTACTCTTAGGTCTCTTTGAAACCTTTCTTCTCTTTCTTCCTTCCTTCCTTCCTTCCTTCCTTCCTTCCTTCCTTCCTTCCTTCCTTCCTTCCTTCCTTCCTTCCTTCCTTTTCTTTCTTTCTTTCTTTCTTTCTTTCTTTCTTTCTTTCTTTCTTTCTTTCTTTCTTTCTTTTTTTTTTTTCAAGACAGGGTTTCTCTGTGTAGTTTTGGTGTCTTTCCTGGAGCTCACTCTGTAGCCCAGGCTGGCCTCGAACTCAGAGATCTGCCTGGGTCTGCCTCCCAAGTGCTGGGATTAAAGGCATGTACCACCATCGCCCGGCTTTCTTTCTTTCTTTCTTTCTTTCTTTCTTTCTTTCTTTCTTTCTTTCTTTCTTTCTCTCTCTCTCTCTCTCTCTCTCTCTCTCTCTCTCTCTCTCTCTCTTTCTTTTCTCTCTCTCTCTCTCTCTCTCTCTCTCTCTCTCTCTCTCTCTCTCTCTCTCTCCTTCCCAGACAGAGTTTCTCTGTGTAACAGTCCTGGTTGTCCTGGAACTCACCCTGTAAACCAGACTGGCCTCAGACTCACAGAGATCCACCTGCCTCTGCTTCTGAGTGCTGAGAGCAAAGGCATGCACCACCACCCTTTCTTAAAGATTTCTAAGTGTTTTGTTTCCATGGCAAACTCCTGACTACCAGGAGCCAAGGAAAAGCTTCAGAACCTTCAGCCCCTACCTTGTCTCCAATGCTGGGAGCCCTTCGAGGGCAGCTAGCCCTGCTCAGCTGGGGAGGTCACGGCATCAGAGTCCTGAACCAGGTCCCTACTGGCAGATGGAAGGCAAGTGGGTAACTGCGCCATAAATAGGCTGATCTTGGCACAGGGTAGCATCTTTATTTCCTCTACAGTAGTCAAAAGCCAATCACTCCTGAAACTAGCCCACAATTAAGGTGGGGTGAGAAAACATATCCGCTTCCCTCCTAGTTCTCACGTTAATACAGAGGACTTGGTGTCCAGTGGGACACCTGTCCCCAGCCCTTCCCCTGCTCTCCTGCCCAGGCTGCCCCAGAACCAGGCAAGGGGTCAAATGGCACCAAGAGTTGGAGTCACTTGGGGGAAACGTTTAAGACAGGATTCACCAGGAAAGAAAACCCGGACCACATAAATATCTAATTAAGTTTGGGAATTCTGGAACTGTAGTCTGATGGAGATGTGCCTCTGAGGGAATAAAGCATGAAATAAGGTGAAGCTTTGAGTCTCTGAAAAAGGAAAATAAAACATGACAAAAGACCCTAAAAGTCAGATGCTAGAATAATCTGTCTCCAGCAGTCTCCCCGCCCCCATTCTCCCGCCCTCCCGCTGCCGCTGGAGTCTCTGGTCTTCAGGCAGACTACAGGATAGATAGCCCCCAGCTCGAAGATCTCTTACCTTCACTATGCTGATAGGCTTTCGGGATAAGTGGAAGCTGGCGTAAAGCAGGAATGTCAGCACGAAAATGAAGGCCCGGTACCTGGAACGCATATCGGATACAGGGCATGAGAGAGGTGTCGGACTGCGCCGTCACACACCGACCCCACTTTACAGTCTCATGACAGTATCAGGACATTAAAGACACTGCTATTCCTGATTGTCCACACGGAGACCACTGAAGCCAACGCAAGAGCAGGAGCTGGGGGAAGCCAACGTCTTCTGCCCCATCCCCCACTGAGACACTGTCCCAACAACAAATAGTTCTCTAGTGAATTCCACCGCGGGGGGTGGGGTGGGGGGGGTGGGTTCTATGATTCAAGACATGTTTGTCACCAGTCTACCCGTTGATAGTGTCAGACCCCATGGGTTGAGGGTTCTATCCCACACGTGGCCTCCACTTCTAATGACACGTAATAAATGGTGGCTCCTACAGGTGTTGTCTCTCTTCAGTTCCTTTGCTTGAGGGACTCTCTGAACCCAGAGAAACCCTTTCTTGCATTTGCCTTTTGTTATACAGCCCACGGAGCCAGTTAGCCTGACAAGAATAAGGCCATGCTCAAGAGACGCGTGTCTCCCCGTCTCTGACTACGAGACTTTTGAAACTGTAAGGAACACATGTAAGGCCTAGGGTGAACAACCCTGGTCAGGAGTGATAAGCAATAGAATGATGTAAGTAAAACCACAAATGGAGTAGTGATAAGCTATAAGCTATGTGTGGAAGTAGGGATAAGACTAGAAACCTAGCCAGGAAAGAATATAAAAGATGAAGCCTCAGACCCGACCAACAGAGCTCGTCAGGCCCTCGCGCGAGACGACTCTCCTCTGCCAGAGACGTGAGATCCTGTCCCCAGTGCAGACGTGGCTGACCCGAGGAAGGCTGACCCAAGATCCAGAGGAACAGACGTGGCGAGTCCGGACCTGTACACCCGGAGAGGTACTCCTGCTTCCATTTGGAAGACAGGATGAATATTGCTTGTAATCTTACTGTGTGAATAAATGAGTGTTATACCAAGTCTGAATCAAGAGTGATTATTCCTCCCCCGTAACTGGGGTATGTGCTCACTACAGAAACCATGAACCCCAAGAAGTGAAACTCTCCCTGGGATGCTCGTGCCTGAAGAAGGGAAAGGCTAGAGCCTTGGCCAGCCTGAGGGAAGAGACCTGCAAGGGGAAGTGGTTCAGTGACCGAACCTGCTTGCCACCAAGCCTGAGCACCTGACCTCGAACCCCCGAACCTACAGACTGGAAGGAGGGAATCCATTCCTGCAAGCTATACCTTCCATAATTCATCATGACAGGTGCACATCCACACCCATATACACAGAAACAACATGAATAAACATGTTTCCTTAAGTGAGAGGCCGAAATAAACATTTCCAGACTTAACCAAGACCCCATTTGAGGTGGAGAAAGCAGGGTGGTGGTTCTGTGTGACCGAGCCTGATCCACATGTAGAAACTGGCTTCGGGATAGGGAACTAACTGTCTGAGCTCTTCTCTCCCGGGGGAAGCCTGAGTGGAAAGTCTGCAGGACACTCCCTCCAAGCCCACAAGGTGACCAGAAGAAAGCAAACCTATGAAACACAAACAGAGTTCTTCCCAGCACTCAGGAGACAGAGCTGGGCTTGTCCCCGCAGGGGACAATGCTGTGTCTCTGTGGCCTCTGAGTGCCTCCCTGGGGCAGAACAGAAGGTTCTTGCCATTCTTTGGCCAAAGCTGCTACACGGGCCCATCCCCTGAGCCTGAGGCTGCTTATGAGAAGTCAGCCACTGACCTCTGCCAACCCCATTTCTAGCTCGCAGCCAGACTCTAGCTCCTCTCCAGATACTTTCTTCAGTGCCCAGGGCAGGGCAGCCTGGGCATGGGTTTCCCTCCAGAGCCCCTCCGTTTGACTCAGGAGCCTGGGATAGCTTCCAGGGGCCACTGCTCAGGGCTGCCTGGCTAAGGCTTTAAGAGGGATGACTCAGTGGCCTCGGGCTCTGTCTGTCTACTCCACCACCGGAATTGAAACTCTCCTATTGTGATGAGGAGGGCTGGGTCCTGACATACTACATTCCTCCTCAGTCTCACTAGGTTTCAGTCAAGGAGACAGGGGGATGAGGTGGTAGTAGCCTTGGGCCCCACTTTCCACCAGGCCCTAATTCAGGTGGCTCAGGGAAGAAGGTGTGAAGCTCTTCGGGACAAGCCCCTCACTCGAGCTGGTGAAGCCATAAATGGACCCTTCAGAAAGAGAGAGCCTCATGGAAGTGGGGCTCGCAAGCCACCTCCTGTAGGTTGGAGTCAAAGGTCAATGAAGAGCAGGCAGGATTTCCCCGGAGGCAGAAAAGGAAGCCCTTATCTACAAGTAGCTGGTGCTGGGCCCAGCCTCCTTCCTCCATTTCCAAAGTCACCCTTCTATCTTTGGCCTCGGCTTCCTAGAGGATGGATTTGGGGTGTGAGAGAGGTCGTGGCTGTAGACTGTCTTTCACTTTCCAGGGGGGTCTGCAGGTGACAGCTGCTCCTCAGCCAGTGGCCACCCCACCCCGCTTGGCCTCTGGGAGAGGAGGATCCGGTGTGCTTTCATGGAATTGCAATTCCGGTCAATGTGACTGAGGTCCCTCAGGATTCCTCAGGAGCCCTTGCTCCATGTGGCAGCTCTATCGCCATCCTCTTCACCATTCACAAAGCTGACCCATTTTGGACGGACAGGAGCAGGGGTTCTGAGCATTGGTTTATTCAGAAATAGTGTCCTGATGTCATGAGTTAATACGAGGTCTAGCCAGGTTAGCGTGGCCCTAAACTGAGGGACTGGTGTCCTCCTAAGAAAAGATGTTGGGAGTGGTGGCGCATGCCTTTAATCCCAGAACTCAAGAGACAGAGGCAGGTGGATCTCCGGGAGTTTGAGGCCAGCCTGGGCTACTTAGAGAGACTCTGTCTCAAAAAAAGCAAAAACCACACAGAGATACCGAGGAGGGAGTATGGCAGCAGAGACAGAGACCGATGTAATGCAGCTAGCTGGTCGCTGGCAGTGTCACAGTGAGAACTAGGGTGAAGGGAAGCTGTCCCCGGGCCTGTCAGACGGCCATGACCCTGCCGCACTTCGAGTTTGGACCCTCAGCCTGCCGAACTGGGAGGGGCTTGCTTTTGTCTTTTGAGACCCGGGTTCACGGTATTTGGTTTCCGGGGAGGAGCACACCTTTGGGTTTATGTGATGCTACAGGTGGACGTGGGAAGATGGAGTAAGTGAAGAGAAACCAACGGTCTCAGCGTTTTCTCTCCAATGCTCTGCTTATACAGTTATGACGAACGGTACATGTCACCTCAAGAATAGAGCCTGGGTTAACCCTGAGTTTCTAGCAAAAAAAAAAAAAAAATGCACATCTCATCAATGCCAGCTCAGGGCCAGGATGCACCCCCAGACTCTCCTCAGGGGTATCTGTATGGTTCAGACATGCCCAACTATTTGTTACACTGTAATGTAACACTCAAGTTACAACAATAACCAAAAACAATCTCTTTCTCTTATACACACACACACACACACACACACACACACACACACACACAAAACCCCTCACGTTGTAAGACAATTTATGATTTTGTGTTGGATTGCGTCCATTGCTATCCTTGACTGCCCATCAGATAAGCCTGTACGGCTCCTGTGTCGAACATTTCGTTACTAGCTGGTGGTGCTGCATCGGAAGGTCGTCAAACCTTTTGTGGGAGGGGCCTACTTAGAAGTACATGTCTGGGGAGTGGGCCTTGAGGCTTACAGACTGGCCCTACTTCCTGCACCACTGAGATCAGAGCAAAGCAGCCTCGTGCTTCCGGCATGGCAGCTGAGAGCAGCTTCCCTCCCTACACCTTTCCTACCACGAGGGACTCTACCTTCCAACGCGCACAATAAGCCCTTCCTCCCTTAAGTTGCCTTCTTTCAGGTCACAGAGATGGGACAAGTAACTAATACAGTGCCCTTGAGTGTCACATCCTTCAGGGAAGCAGTGGCAAGCCACTGTGGTATCGTCTGGTCTTGGTTCAGCGTCGCCTGCCTCGGTCACCTAGGAACTCAACAAGTGCTTTTGAGAGGAAGTACTCGTCAGCGTGGCTGGTTTAGAGACAAATCCCAACCCTTTCTGAACTCAGAAACCAGGCAGCCAGATACAGAAGGAAGTTCATGACTTTGTCAGAGCCTTGATTGGGAGACGGATGCCACCAAGATTGACACTGGTCACCTATTAAGTCACCGCCTGCCTTGGCAACAGAACCTTTCCCCACACTAAGTAGAGATAGGAATTTTGTAGGAGTATGCTATGAGATGATGGAGATGGTCTTAGGTCCCAGCTACCAGGCCTCTGATCCCAGAGGCTGGCCTCCTGGGGGGCGGGGGGGAAGCATGGTCCTGCTCCAGTGACATTTGTGAGGTACATCAGATGCTTTTCTCAGGCAGCGGGCCACCATCTACTCCTAGGATCAATTATTTGAAGTTTCAAGTTTTTCTAGACCTTGTCGGCAAGCAGCAGTCCCTTGGTGGTACTCATGGCTTTGTTTCCCGGCATCACATGGCATACCTGCCCATCTTCTGCTGTTCCTGCCAGTTGAGACATGAGTGTCTCTGAGGCTCTGGCTCCCATTGGTGGGAAGAGTCACACAGAGAAGGAAACCAGGAGCCAGGTGCGCAAACCGGTTCTGGACCTCTGGGGTCCCTTCTCATTTCACCTCCACATGCCTAGTCCCTGCTCTCCCCACGGGACCTCTAACCCCTCCCCCTCCCCAGCCCCGCCTGCCAAAAAGGGCACTGTCTGACTTTCTGGCCGAACAAACATCTGCATATCCAAAATGGGAGACAATCTATAAAACATGTGCTTGAACCTTTCAGTGACTCAAGGTCATAAAAGACAGACAGCGCCAAGGGACATTTTTTTTTTAGACTAAAGGACACAAAACCCCCGAGATGGCAAAATGCAGTGTGTGGCTCTGTGTCAGATCCTGGATGGCAGAGGAACTGTCAAAGGTCTCACTGGACACTGGACATGGCATTTTAACATGGACACTGATCACAGGGCCTCGGGCTTGCAAGCATTCTACCATTGAGCTACATGCCCAGCAAAAGGCAAAATCTGCATAGAAATATTTAAAAATGAGAACCGTACAATGCCTGCCACACACACCTACATAAAGCAGGAGGAGCAGACGAGGCAAACAGTAAACAGTAGCAATCTGTATACACAAGAACGCATCACGGATTTACAAACCAAGCTAACTAGTCTCCCAATGAAAGTGTGTCAAGGGTTGTGGCTAGAGTCTCAGCAGGCCTCGAGGGAGAGCTGTGGAGGGAAGCCATCTGCAGATGGTCCCAAACCCACCCTGAGACCTTTCGGAAGAGCCCAATGGAAGCAGGTGAGTGGGCTAGAACGAACCTGTGTAGACGACTGCCATGCTGAGCAGAGGGGGAGCAGAGCTTCCCGAGAAAGACCTCAGAAAAACTCAGTCGCCACACACCATCTCCGCAGAAGCAACCGGAAAGGCGAGGAGCCGCCTCCGCCCATAATAGGCACTACCGGCTCCTGCCGCCTGCGCTCTTGAGGACTTTCTTTCCTTTCCAAAAGGCCATGTGTCTCCCTGCTAAGTGCTCGTTCCCACGTCTCCTATTAAAGACGACAATAAGCCCCAGGTTCTAAATACACCGTGGGACGCATGTTTCTCTGGGAACCTCCGTGAACATGCAATGAAAACCCTTTTCTCTCCTTCACCTGTCTGGACAGTTTAACTTGCTAGTGTGCCCAGGCACTCAACATGGAGGGGACAGCAGGGCTGAGGACTCGGCTCAGCGCCAGGGGGCTTGTTTAGCCCTCACAAGCACCATAAAAATGAAGTGAAATGAGAAAAGGTAAGTTTTTCCTTCCTGACAGATGAGGAGTCCAAATGCTGTCTGCGATGTCACCACCAAAACACAGGACTCTTGAGGGCTCCAGGTAACAGCAGCCACCACGTAACAGCTATGAGAAAGCCGGCCACCCACGCTCCCTAATGAAATATGGGTGGAAAAGCCACCCAGTGCCCCCTGTCACTCTGCCCCACACATCACCACTCTAGAGGGCAGCCCACCACCAGAGCTTACCACTGATCCCTGGAGAAGGCGATGATGAAGCGGATGCCCACAGGGAGTCGAGCCATTTACGTTGTTCCTGACCTCGGAGCTCCAGTCCCGTAATCAGATGCTCCAGGAAACAGGTTAAGATTGTTTTCTGACAGCCCTGCAGTTCACACAGCCTGGAAAGCAGCAACAACAGACGTGTCCTACTGGGCCCTGCCCCCTCTTCCTTCCATCAGGGTCGGCCGAGGTCTGTGGGAGAAAGAGAGGCATTAAGAACCTGTGTGGTCCTGACGATAGTACCCGGGAGACACTGGCAGGCAGAAGTCACTCCACAGATGGGGAGAGGCCACCCACGACTGATCAAAGCTACACGTCTGATACCAGAAGCTCCCGCCATGGATGCCCGGGGGAGGATTGCTCAAACGGAGCTCACAGAATGCTCCAATGATTCCTGAAGGGAAGTGGGCACTCATCTCTGCCTTTAGGGCTTCCAGAGATGAGTCTGGCCACTCTGCCCCAAAGCATATGTCTACTGCTTAGTCATGTACACAGTTATTAGAGCATGGGGTAGGGGCGGGCACTGGACTTGCTCCTTCCACTACTACTCACTAGGCCTCCTGTGAGCCTCAGCAAGAGAGGATTGTGGGCCTGAGCAGAACGGCAGAAGGGATCAACCGTCAGTCACTTGGGCTGTGTGGTTCTGCAGTTGAGTCTGCCATACCTAACACTGAGGGGATGAACTTCCCACCTGCCGCTGTGGTTCCCTGTCCTGTGCTCACGTCATTAGCTTGGGAAAAGGAGCTTGCTCTGAAGGCTGGGCTGAAGAAGGGCAAAGCTGGAAGGGATAGAAGAAAGCCAGAGAACTGATAACAGACCAGCTCTGAGGCAGGCGGGTCTCCTAGCCTCAGGACATACATTCCCCAGGCATTGCATTTTTCCAAAGTGGAACTACTTTACCCACCTAGGAGCTTTCAACAGACAAATGTCCTGGGCTGGGGGCACAGCTCAGTAGTGGAGTAGCAGGGCACTTTGGGTCCCAAACCCCGCGGTTCACACGCACACAACCTGAAGAGAATTTAGCCCAGAAACCAGCCCCAGAACCCTCATGGAGGTATGGACGCCTTTCTACCTCAGCCGGGAGAGCTCCACCTTTCCCAGGGCCTCTCAGGGGCCTTAGCAAATGTCACTCAGTCCTGACCCTACACAGACCCGCAGTGAGTCAGGCCACTAGCCAGTCCGCCTCCCCCCCCCTCAAATTCTCCAGCTAAAAAATGAGGATGACAGTCTAATGGTATCAACATCGTTATACACAGACATGATCTCAGAAAGGCCTTGGCACAGGGCCTGGTATACAGTGGACAGTCCATTAGTACCTGTGGGGGTGGTTCTGCCGGTGAGCTTCAGGGAGGGCAGGGTTCCCTGTCCCATAGTGTAGCACAGAACATGAGCAAGGAACTCAGCTGGAGCCAGCCTGGTGGCTTATGCCTGTGATCCCAGCACTCAAGAGGCTGAGGCAGGAGGACCATTTTGAGTTGGAGGCCAGCCAGGGTCACCTAGTGAGTACCAGGCCAGCTAGAGCTTCGTAGCAAGACCCTGCCTCTAGATTAAACCAAAAGTTGCAGGACTTTGGCTCAAATCTCCATATTTAAATGACACCTTTCAAAAAAGGTTTGCTCGAAATGAGTTCTTTGGGCTTGTTCCCTATGTATGTTTCGAGTGCACCGATGAAATACCTCTGTGATGATGGCTTCGGATTAAAGGATTTGATTTCAACTGTACAAGGCTTGAAAGTAGACAGCCAGGGTCCAGTTTTTTTTCCTCCATCAAAATACTGAAAATTCACCCCCTGCTACCGGTGAAATCTGTCATCCAGCAAAACCTGGTCCAACAGCAAAGCTCCAAAGCATAAAGAGCTTCCAGGAATTAGAGATCTGACACCCTCACACAGACACACATGCCTGTAAAACACCAATGCAAAAATAAACACCAATAAAAAAATAAATTAATTAAAAAAAAAGAGTTACCATGAAAAAAGCCCTTGGCTTTTTCCATTATATCCCCATGATTCCCCTGAGGGGTGTGTGTGTGTGTGTGTGTGTGTGTGTGTGTGTGTGTGTGTGTGTACATGCACTACCACCCATTCTCACAGGAAGTGCACTTTAGGATGGACAGATGGTGATTCCACATTCGGGGTGCTGAGAAATCAGCTTAACAAAGCTCTTTTCTTGCTGGCCTGGATAGCATCCCCAAAATCTGTGCAGTTTGGTTCCTGTCCTGGATCTCCTCTGAAGACCAGGCTGGCCTTGAACTCACAGAGATCTGCCTGGCTCTGCCTCCCGAGTGCTGGGATTAAAGGCGTGCGCCACCACCGCCCAAAATCTGTTCCCTCCAAATCCCAGGTCATAAAGGCTACTGATACACCCTCCTGGAGCCCAAGGCATAGCTTTCACTTCAAGGCAGTGGTTCTTAGCCCATGGTTCTCAGCCTGTGGCTTGCAAACCCAACAGGGGTTGCATATCAGATATTTACATTATGATTCACAACAGTAGCAAAATTACAGTTATGAAGTAGCAACAAAAATATCTTTATGGTTGGGGGGGGATCACCATGACACGAGGAACCGTATTTAAAGGGTCATAGCATTAGGAAGGCTAAGAGAACCACTGCTCTAAGAGGAGAGATGAGGCTAGCCCAGTTAGACGGGCTTCACATCAAGACAAATCCCAGACCTTCCATTTGCCTGGGGGCGCCTTCTCAGGCACACTTCCTCTTGCCCATCCCTACACAGAAGGGGAGCACGTGGCTTGGCTGAAAGGCTCTGGCATACAGCCCAAGCACATGAAAGTAGTTTTTAAATGTCACCTCTTAGAAGCTCCCAATGAACTTCAGCCCATTAAAGAAAATGGTAAGAAGGCAGTGAGAGGGAAGAGCGGACAATTAGGAGCTAGTGCACTGTGACACAGCACCCCTACCAGGCTCAGAAGCACGGGTAGCTAGCCCTTCTCACAGAGCCTGGCCAAGGGCTTAGGGACAGACACACCTACCATCTGTCCTTCCAGCCCTAGGGCTCTGAGCCACTCAGAACAGTGTCCATCCACCCTCCAAGGAGACTCAGAAGCCGCTAGAAGTCGGCAAAAGAAAGAGTAATGCCTCAAGGGTTTTTCCCAGGCTTAAGCACACAGACAAAAATCGTAGCACCCTAAGGCAACACGTCAAAATTAGGGCACACTTAAGGACAAACCTGAGAACCAGACAACCCCCTCCAAAAATTTCATGAGTTTTTGTTTTAAACCAAGACAAACTACAACCTTTCCAATCAAGCACTTTGTAAGCTTTGAAAGGGTCCATTTCCCGTGAGAGATAAACAGAAACGGTCATTTTCACTTGCCCTGCGTTTAAATACAAGAAGTCAGAATTCTGTCCACCACCACTCCTAGCCCATTCACAACAAACAACACATCCCAGGTGTTGCTAATTGTACAGGACTTGTAAATGTACTCCCAAGACCGCAGGGTGCAAACCGGACCCCCAGGAGAGGGAATTGCCAGGTATCCTCTAGCTAGATATGAATAAAGAGATCAACGTGCAAAGCCAATCTATTTACCAACTCGCCCAACTTCACGCAATTGAAGTTCCGGGGCCGGCAGATGGGTAGGCAGGCAGCCACTAGCCAGGTGCAGAAAGAGCTGACGAGAAGGAAAAGGCAGTTTAGGAGTGCAAACCTGGACGTGGGGAAGGGTCTCCAGTTCAAATGTAAATCTTTACCTGCAGGTCACCAAGATCCCAGAGTGGACCCCAAGGGCTGGAAGATTGGTGCATGCGCGTAGGGGACTTTCCGGTGATTTAAACCTTTTATTACCGCCAGAAGGTTAGCTGTCACCGCGTTGGTCACCGAGCCCGGGCTCCAGGAAGCAGTTCTTTAGCAAACAAACAACCCGAGAACCCAGGGTGCTGCCTGCGAGCTTTCCCAAGGGCTTTGCGAGCCGGCTCCTCCCCGGTCGGTCGTACAGCCTCCTGGCCCGGTGGCGAAGGCTACGGGCACGCCCACGTCCCCAACGCGCGGCTGCAGACAAAGCGCTGGGTCTCCAGCAGCCGGCTCCCCACAGCTGTCACCACGGCCCGGGACTGGGAGGGGACCGGGCAACACAGCTAGGCGATCCCAGCCCCGGGCCTCGGGAGCCTTCTGCTTCCACTTCCCCGGGAACTCAGCGTCGGGATCGCCCGGTACTGACGCCCAACGCCACTCTAGCGCTTGGCTGGTTCCCGGTTCTCTAGCCACAGCAGAGGGAGACAAACGGTGGAGAGGCCGTAGCGGGGGCGCAGGGCGCAGGGCGCGGGCCCGCTGGCAGGTGCGCGCCGCTGGGGAGGGTCCTCGGTCGTCCCCGCGTCTACCTGCGCTCCGCAGCCCGCGCCGCCTGCGCGCTTCCTGCTCGCGACTTCCTGGAGCGGCCGCCCTTTCACTTTCTGGGCCCTGCGGGCGCCGGCCAGGAGCGGCTCCTCCCTCTCCCGCGCGCCCCTTGACCCCAGTCCCGCGCGCTCCCAGGGATCCAGACAGCCCCGGGATGCTCAGCTGGGGCATCCTCTAGTTGTTCCTGGGTCCCCACACCTGCCTGTCGTGCCCTCCCAGGCCCCGCAGGGCGCTGGGCTCTTACTGGCATGATGCCCAGCAGCCAAGTGCCGGCTCTTTGAGCGCCTTCAGTACCACCAGGCTTTTGTCCCCAAGGCAGACCTTAATAATGCCATCAAAATGGACAAGTTTTGGGCGAAAGGTTTGCTCCCTCGGAGCCATGGACTGAAGACGGCCTCTTTCGGCCTATCACATTTTGTCAAGTGTCAGAATCAGGAACACTGGCGTGCTACACATGGAGCAGACTCTAACCGCACCTGTGCCAGTAAGACAAACGGCTTGCATGGTTTGTCAGCATCCGGGTCATGGGGAGGCGCCTTAGTACACAGCTCCCTTTTCACCCCCGGATAATTAATTATCTTCCAAACCCTTCACCTCCTGCCAAGAACTGACCTAGAAGTCCGGGAGGGCCGATTTCCAAAGGGCACCTGCCTCATACCTCCCGCTGACAGCCTGGCCTGGCATCCAAGGCCAGCCCTCCTGCTTAGCCCCGGCTCTCAGGCAGGAAACCCAACCAACTTTCCAGGAACAGCCAGGCATCTGGGTAAAACCACGCTTAAGCCAACTTGAATCCTCGCTGTGAAAGTCCAATGTATGGGGGCCAGAGCTTGGTCCCCCACGCAGCACCCTGCAGCGCCCTCTTCAGGCTGGCTGGTGTGCAGAAAGTCTACAGCTTTACAGCTTTACCCTTGGGGCCCCTCAGTTTGCTGAGTTGGGTAGGGCCAAGCCATTCTTTACCTACGGGCTCTTGGGAAGTGTTCTGTACCCCTGAAGCAAAACTGACTCGCTGTTTGAGCCACCCGCACCTTGCTGTCTCACACGCCTCACACGGGAAGTGGCCCGGGAATTCTGGCTGGTCTACCCTCTTCCCCTGCTGCTCCTCTCCAGCAACTCAGGTGGACTCCTATATCTTCTCAGGTCGTCGCCCGTCACTTTTCTCTCCTCAGGGCTTCGATCACCAAGCTTGTGCAAGAGTCCCTTGCTCTTCTGCCCATGTTCCATCTTCGAGCTGTGCCAAACTGCCCCCCTAAAGCAACATCTGAGCTCCCCAATTTGATTGGCAACCTTCAAAGGCCCTTCACCCCCGAGGAGGTGAAGACGGGGCCCCGAGGCCTTTGTACAGCGGAAGGACCTAATGCCAAGGCTTCCGGGTAGTTTTTCAGTTCCCAAGAATGTGACTTTTTTACACTAGGGTGTTAGGACTCGTCTTTTCTGAGTCCGGGGTTCTTGAGTGAGCTCAGACTTTGGGGATTGTTGCTTCAAATACGTCGCTGTATTTGGGGGTGCTGTATAAAATGCCCAAGTCCTAGTGACGCCAGTCTACCTCCAACCCCTAGGGGCCGCAGGAGGGAGTCCTAGATCAGAAAGCCTCTTTAAGTCTCACAGCGTGACTGCCATAGATTTTTTTTCTTTTTTTCTCCCCCCGCCCCGCCCCAGACAGGGTTTCTCTGTGTAGCTCTGGCTGTCCTGGATCTCGCTCTGTAGACCAGGTTGGCCTCGAACTCACAAAGATCCGCCTGCCTCTGCCTCCCGAGTGCTGGGATTAAAGGCGTGCGCCACCACCACCCGGTTGATTTTTTTTTTCTTACAAAAAATCCAAAATGACAATCTTTGCACAGATACTGGAGTCAACCAGGGGGAGTCTGGTGGTCTATGTTGAATATTTGCTGAAAATGTCAATCTTAGAAGAGTAAGTTAATGTTTCATAATACATATTTTATATTGATCTTTTATATGATTATAAGAAGCTTTCGAATGTAGTGAAGATGTGTGTATAAAACTTCAAAATAAATCTTTCTGTATTTTGAAATGGAAATTTGTGATTGTGGCCACAAGGATGGCAGGTTTTATGCTTGAGACTATGATAAAGGATTGCATGTGCCCCCCCATGAAGTAAGATTGATTTGTGATCCATGGTCCTCTTGCCTCGGCCTCCTGAGTGCTGGGATTGCAGGTGTACCCCACAATGACTGTCTCCCCCTGCTCCCTCCTCCCTCCTAAAACCCAGAGTCTTGCACATGATAGGTGCATGCTCTGCCACTGAGCTACATCCCAGCCCTAGGAGTCATTTTTAAATCAAATTAAAAGGAAACAGAGAAAAGACAGAGAGAGGGAAGGAAATAAAGGAGTTTGTGTTTGCCCAAGGCAGTGGGTTTTCAGTGACGGCACTGCAGGAACTAATACTTGAATTAGGGGTATAGTTTAGAGAGAAGGGCTTCACAAGGGTCTTGAACTAGTTGGTACTCAACTATGAATGTCTGTCTGTCTGTCTGTCTATCTATCTATCTATCTATCTATCTATCTATCTATCTATCTATCATCTATTTTCCTGAGATAGGGTTTCCTCTGTGTAACAGCCCTGGCTGTCCTGGAATTCTCTTTGTAGACCAGGTTGGCCTCGAACTCACAGAGATCCTGGGATTAAAGGCATATGCCACCATTCTTCGCTTCAACCATGCATTTATAAGAGTGACTTTGTCCCAGCACTGGGAGGCAGAGGCAGGTGGATCTCTAAAAGTTCGAGGTCAGCCTGGTCTACAGAGCAAGTTCTGGGACAGCCAAGGCTACACAGAGAAACCCTGTCTCAAAACAAACAAGCAAACAGTGTTTTTTTAAGTGGCCGGTAGAAGATAGGTTGGGCAAACATTCTTGCTTCTAAGACCCCTTGGCAATGTCTTCAATCTTTATTATTCTTCTCCTAACTGTAGAGTATAGGAGGTGGTCACAGAGAGAAGGGGGTCAGGGGACCCTGGATCCTAAATGGAGCAGAACTTGTATAAAGCCTGGAGTCAAATTTGGGGGCCTGAATTTCACAGCTCCTGATGACATTCTCCTCTGCAGCTGAGCTCTACTCCAGGGCTAGCCTGTGGCAGCATCCGTCTCTGTAGGTTTCCCTACACTTTTAAGATTATAGTTAGAATGAGGCCGGACACATGGGAACAGAAAACTGACCCCTACGGAGTCATTCCTGCCACAGAGCTGGTGCAGATAAATGTGACAAGCAAATTGGACAGTTTTTACAAGATGCCCCCAAAAGGATCAATAACCCTCAGCTGTGGTTTGGTAAGCCATGCGGCTCACATTAAGAGGTTATGCTTTGAAGGTTCCCTCTGGGACTATATGTGATGATTTGTGTGGAGAGAGTCCTTTTACTGCACACAATATGCTAATGTGTTGGTGGGAAAGCACAATGACTCATATCTTCTTCCTCAAACCCAAGTGGTCTCACTAGGACTTCCAGCCTAAGAGGGGTCCGGGAAGAGGAGATTTCAGAGGAAGCCCTGCGGTCCACCCGCTGACGCTAACCTACTCCATAGTGGGTTATCATTGGTCTCACTGGCCGGCACGTCATCCTCTGCAATCGCTGTGGTCATGGGAGGGTTTGGACCCTGGGCTCATCTGGGCAACCGTTCCTTCCCACGTTGCGTATTGCTTCAACTTCTGCAACCAAGAGCCTTCCCTTCTTAACCCCTTTTAACCCTTCAACTGAAACCCTCTCTAAGAACAGACTTGTCTAACTCCATAACAAATGCAATCTCGGCCGGGTGGTGGTGGTGGCGGCGGCGGCGGCGGCGGCGGCGGCGGCGGCGGCGGCGGCGGCGGCGGCGGCGGCGCACACCTTTAATCCCAGGATTGGGAGGCAGAGCCAGTCAGATCTCTGTGAGTTTGAGGCCAGCCTGGTCTACAGAGTGAGTTCCAGAACAGGCTCCAAAGCTACACAGAGAAACCCTGTCTCAAAAAACTAAAAAGACCACCACCACCAAAACAAAAACAAACAAATAAACAAAACCAAAACCAAAACCAAAAAAACCCCAAATGCTATCTCTTACTTTCAAGGCATTCTTTCTGAACATTGCTTTATGATTCCAGTGTGTGGTAGCCCAGCAGAGGAGGAGGCACAGGATTTGGGATCTGAATGTGTCTCCAACTCAAACCTTGACTCCAAGCTTCCTGGGACCCCGTGGAGGCCACTCTACTCTGTGCTCATGAGACTGATGCACAGATGGATGAAGGGAGGTGTTTGAAGACACAGTTTCTTACTTGTTCTGTTCATCTGTGAATCCTCATCTAGCACTGTGCTTGGCATACTCTAGAAGTGTAAGAAACCCTCGCTATTGACTGAATACTACCAGGTTTCTATGGCAACAGTGAATCAGCTTTAAATGCTTATGGCCATCCTAATGACTGGGAAACAGGTATGTGTGATGAGCCCAGGACACATGTGACTAACTGGGATGGCGGTGGGGGAGGGGAATTCCAAAGTCTCTTTCATCAGCTTATGTCGTTAAATTTTCCAGGAAACAGAGGGTGAGACTCCCACCACTGCCTTCAATAAGTCCTGTGAAAGTTTGGCTCTTTGCACAGTTACAACACATCATCTCTTAGCCAGCCTCCCGAGACAATGAATGAACTTCTGTCCGAGGACTCACATCTATCATCCCAGCAATCAGGAAAGCTGAGGCAGGAAAATGGCCACAAGTTGGAGGTCAGCTTGGGCTAACCTCAATGTAGGACCTTGCCTCAAAAGCAAAGCAAAACAAAACAAACCCAAACCAATAAATCCAAACCCCACAAGGCCACTCTCCATTGGGGCCTATCCGAAACTGAGCCAGGCCAAGGAGGCCAGCACCCATATTTACCTCCACCACACACACACTGCTAATCATGGCTGTGCCACACCAGCCTTTACCATGTCACACTGAGGGCATTTTTAAACCCATACCGTTCCCAGTTAGCTCTCTTTACCTTATGCTTATGGACCAGGTGTAAATTACTGCTTGCTACTCCAATGCCATGCTCCCTGCCAGGATGCTCACAGAGTCCAACCCTCTGGAACTGTGATCCTCCACAGTAAAAGTTTGGTCATTTTTATTTTAATTTTTTTTTTGCCATGGCAACAGAAAAGTAATTAAGATACAAACCACAATCACTATGAGATGCCTTCTTACCTAGTAGACCAGCAAAGAAGGGAAAATGACCTCCCGGCAGCCCCAGAGCAGTGACTCACACTCCCTGGTAGGAGTGGGGATGGGCCTTGCCGTCCCAGGGGCCAATGTAGTAATGGTGTTTAGAACCTGTCTGTGATAGTTCAGCTTGTCAGCCTGACTGGGTTTGGAATCATCTAGGAGACACCTCTGGGCTGTGCAGGTGTTTCCAGACAGAAGTAAATGAGGAGAAAAGACCCAGCCTGAATGTGGGTGGGCGGCATCACCCCATGGGCTGGGGCCCCAGACAGAATAAAGCGGGGAGAGGCCAGCTGAGCACTTCACTGCAGACACATGACCCCAGCACCAGCTCCCACTGCTGTGTTTTTCTCTCATAAGGACCCCTCCTCTCCTAAACCGCAGGCCCCAAACCCTTCTCCCACCCAATTGCTTTGGGTCCGGTGTTTCCTCACAGCAATGAGAGAAGTAACTGACAAGCCTTACGTATTCCTCGCCACTGGCCCCTCGACTCCCATTTCTACAAGCCTGGGTTCTGGAGCATGAGCTTGAGAGGAAGCCAGAACTCGAATTCAGGCGCTCCCGTGAACGTGCACACGAGCTCATCCACCGGGACAATGGGTTCACAAACGGCTACTGCATTGCTTTGCTCTATCATCGGCATACAGGAACATCTTTTTTCCTCCCACGTTTTAAATTCAATTTCCATGTAGAATAATAGTCATAGCTCACCCCTGGGGCCTGTGAGCTCTCCAACCATGCATTCTTGGTCAGATTTAGAGTAGCATGTGCTGTGGGATGTTCTGTATGGCAAATGTGTTGCTGATTAGTCAATAAATAAAACACTGATTGGCCATTGGCCAGGCAGGAAGTATAGGCGGGACAAGGAGGAGAATAAAGCTGGGAAATGGAAGGCTGAGTGAGAGAGACACTGCCAGCCGCCATGATGAGAAACAGCATGTGAAGATGCCGGTAAGCCACGAGCCATGTGGCAAGGTATAGATTAATGGAAATGGATTAATTTAAGCTGTAAGAACAGTTAGCAAGAAGCCTGCCATGGCCATACAGTTTGTAACCAATATAAGTCTCTGTGTTTATTTGGTTGGGTCTGATGACTGTGGGACTGGCAGGTGATAGAGATTTGTCCTGACTGTGGGCCAGGCAGGAAAGCTCTAGCTACAAATGGCGTCCAACGTGGTGGCAAGAGTTTCCACCTAAAAACTGAGAAAAAAGATTCTAAAATGGAGCTAAAAACAGTTCCTAATTGTCTCTCTCAAATGAGCAGCAGCTGCCGGTTTGAGCTACTGGTGGGTTCCTAGCATGTGCGCTCGACCTGCAGTATGGCAGGAATGAGGCCTCTGCAAGTGGCACATTAAGCTGCATGGTGGATTTAGCCTTTTCTAGTACAAAACAAAAAAAAGAGGTTTCTGGGCTACACGCTGCTTGGATAAAAGCATAGACCCACGATAGCTCCCAGAGCTGGCGGTAAACCACCGCCATGTTGGGAAGTTGAGGTGGGCGGAGCCAGCAGCCACAGCTGCTGCAGTTTAAGGCAATAGATTCACAATAAGACAGATTCAGATGTAATAGTTTACAATGTGTGTAAAAGATATGTAGGCTTGAAAGAGACAAAAGAGGTGATATATAGAGTTATAGAAACAAATACAGTTTTAAAAAATAAAGTCTTTAAAGAGACAGTAAAG